CTAGTAAGGTAAGGGATTTAGAAAAATCTCAGCCAAAGCCATGTATGAGATTACAGACAACCACAGAGTAGGGTGGGTGGGATAAAGCCACTGTACTTAAGTCCAATATAACTAGGTGGAGATTGATTACTCAATCTTTCTTCATCGAATCAACACTGAACACATGTAATAGAGATGACGCAACACCTATACCAGAGATATGGAAAATTTTGCTACCAATAACAACAACTCACATAAAGTGACGTAACTATAAAAATCGAATGTCGAAAGTGTTGTGGGATTACATTGATATGATTATGAGCAATGATAATTTATGCTCGTAACGTCATCAAGTAAATAATACTAGATCACTGTGTTATCCTCGTTTTCTTGTTCATCCCTGCAATCCACTGACTGCTTCATCATCGTCTGCTTCACCTTCCTCCTCTCTCTCCTCTATCAGCTTCCATGTGTCTGTCGAGATCCATTCCATTCCATTCCATTCGATTCCTTGTCTTGTTTCCTCTCCCTTCCTAGTACGCTTATGCAGGTTTCTTTCCACATCACTTTCAAAGACTTACAGTGTTCTTCTACACACCATTCCTCACGGATCTTGCTCGATATCTATCTCCCGTTTTGTCTTGATGGCTGACGTGAAGATGTCCTTTGCAGTTTTGTGCTTCACTTTTTGTTCTGGGTGTTCAATGTGAACTGTGGTTTATCACCAACCGCCTTCAAGGCTTTCAACTTGATTTCCAAGCTTCCTTGCACTAGCTGGTGAGTGAGTGATGTGAACCTACCTACATCTGCTCCCCTTCTTGGTCGTGTGTCCAGTAGGCTGCCTGCATCTCCACTTTCTTCAGATTCAAATGAAGTCGATCTTATTTTTAGTGTCCTGTGTCCATCTGGTGAAGTCCATGTCGCTTCGTCAATATCCTTGTGTTTGTACACACTGCCTCCAATCACCAAATAGTAGAATGCCCAGAAATCTGGAAATAGTTCTCCGTTCTCATTCATTTCACCGAGTGCTTCTCGACTCATGATGAGTTCTCTTACTGTGTTTTCTGCTCCCAGTTTGGCATTCATGTCACACATTAGAATGAATTTGATGTCACCAACAGGAGTCTTGTCTAGTACTGATTGCAGTTGTCGATAGAATTCCTCCTTCTTCTCTTCATCTGTATTATTTGTAGGTGCGTAGCATAGCATAGCATTGTATGATTGTGACTTTGCTTCCTTTTCAGTTGAATCTTGCTGTCATGATCCTGATCCTGCTGGAGAAGATTGCTTCCCACTGTATGAGAGCCTTCGATGCTGTTGTGGACATGATGATAGTCACTGGAAAACTCAGTGTGCTCGTGATTGTCGTCTGGATGACAATATCAGAGAAGATTATTGACTCTCCAGTTGACAGTTTGGAGAATCTACTTGCATTCCATCTGCTCTCACAGATTCCTAGTCTATCACTTGTATGCTATGCCTTCTCATCTCTTTAGCAATCTGGGCAGCCTTGCAAGGTTCATGCATGGTGCAAAACAGCTAATCAATAGCATCAAGACAGAAATTTCTACATGTACCTTTTGACAGTATATATTTTAATGTTAAATAAAAATCCGAATATTCTGCTGAAGAAGCTGTGGCATACACAGCGAATCGTTCAGAAAAATCTTCTTTTCGATTTTCTAAACTCCTTGGGATTATATAAAAACTTACCTATATGATGAATCAACCTGACTCGGTACTCAACTTCTTTCAGGACATTCGTAAAAACTTTGGCCTGGATGTTTATAACAGTTATTGATAGTGGTAATGACAGCAACAATAATAATGTTGACAATAGGTAGCGGCAATACTGTGAACAGAGAATTGAAAACCTCTACAGTATTACCATACAAAGAAGAAGGCACCTCAGAAACACTACGTAGGATTCTCAATAAGGCTGGGATTAGAGTGGCATTTAAACCTACAAACTCACTTCGAAATAAGCTTCGTAGGTTAAAAGATCCGACTGACCCAATTAAGCACAATAACTTAGTTTACCAAATCGCTTGCGACGATTGCGAGGTCAAATAATAGATAAGTCAAAGTAGTCGACCAGGGTCAATTAGGCTATCGGAACACAAAAACTTAGCTAGGTCTAAATTGGTAGATCCTAGTAAGGTAAGGGATTTAGAAAAATCTCAGCCAAAGCCATGTATGAGATTACAGACAACCACAGAGTAGGGTGGGTGGGATAAAGCCACTGTACTTAAGTCCAATATAACTAGGTGGAGATTGATTACTCAATCTTTCTTCATCGAATCAACACTGAACACATGTAATAGAGATGACGCAACACCTATACCAGAGATATGGAAAATTTTGCTACCAATAACAACAACTCACATAAAGTGACGTAACTATAAAAATCGAATGTCGAAAGTGTTGTGGGATTACATTGATATGATTATGAGCAATGATAATTTATGCTCGTAACGTCATCAAGTAAATAATACTAGATCACTGTGTTATCCTCGTTTTCTTGTTCATCCCTGCAATCCACTGACTGCTTCATCATCGTCTGCTTCACCTTCCTCCTCTCTCTCCTCTATCAGCTTCCATGTGTCTGTCGAGATCCATTCCATTCCATTCCATTCGATTCCTTGTCTTGTTTCCTCTCCCTTCCTAGTACGCTTATGCAGGTTTCTTTCCACATCACTTTCAAAGACTTACAGTGTTCTTCTACACACCATTCCTCACGGATCTTGCTCGATATCTATCTCCCGTTTTGTCTTGATGGCTGACGTGAAGATGTCCTTTGCAGTTTTGTGCTTCACTTTTTGTTCTGGGTGTTCAATGTGAACTGTGGTTTATCACCAACCGCCTTCAAGGCTTTCAACTTGATTTCCAAGCTTCCTTGCACTAGCTGGTGAGTGAGTGATGTGAACCTACCTACATCTGCTCCCCTTCTTGGTCGTGTGTCCAGTAGGCTGCCTGCATCTCCACTTTCTTCAGATTCAAATGAAGTCGATCTTATTTTTAGTGTCCTGTGTCCATCTGGTGAAGTCCATGTCGCTTCGTCAATATCCTTGTGTTTGTACACACTGCCTCCAATCACCAAATAGTAGAATGCCCAGAAATCTGGAAATAGTTCTCCGTTCTCATTCATTTCACCGAGTGCTTCTCGACTCATGATGAGTTCTCTTACTGTGTTTTCTGCTCCCAGTTTGGCATTCATGTCACACATTAGAATGAATTTGATGTCACCAACAGGAGTCTTGTCTAGTACTGATTGCAGTTGTCGATAGAATTCCTCCTTCTTCTCTTCATCTGTATTATTTGTAGGTGCGTAGCATAGCATAGCATTGTATGATTGTGACTTTGCTTCCTTTTCAGTTGAATCTTGCTGTCATGATCCTGATCCTGCTGGAGAAGATTGCTTCCCACTGTATGAGAGCCTTCGATGCTGTTGTGGACATGATGATAGTCACTGGAAAACTCAGTGTGCTCGTGATTGTCGTCTGGATGACAATATCAGAGAAGATTATTGACTCTCCAGTTGACAGTTTGGAGAATCTACTTGCATTCCATCTGCTCTCACAGATTCCTAGTCTATCACTTGTATGCTATGCCTTCTCATCTCTTTAGCAATCTGGGCAGCCTTGCAAGGTTCATGCATGGTGCAAAACAGCTAATCAATAGCATCAAGACAGAAATTTCTACATGTACCTTTTGACAGTATATATTTTAATGTTAAATAAAAATCCGAATATTCTGCTGAAGAAGCTGTGGCATACACAGCGAATCGTTCAGAAAAATCTTCTTTTCGATTTTCTAAACTCCTTGGGATTATATAAAAACTTACCTATATGATGAATCAACCTGACTCGGTACTCAACTTCTTTCAGGACATTCGTAAAAACTTTGGCCTGGATGTTTATAACAGTTATTGATAGTGGTAATGACAGCAACAATAATAATGTTGACAATAGGTAGCGGCAATACTGTGAACAGAGAATTGAAAACCTCTACAGTATTACCATACAAAGAAGAAGGCACCTCAGAAACACTACGTAGGATTCTCAATAAGGCTGGGATTAGAGTGGCATTTAAACCTACAAACTCACTTCGAAATAAGCTTCGTAGGTTAAAAGATCCGACTGACCCAATTAAGCACAATAACTTAGTTTACCAAATCGCTTGCGACGATTGCGAGGTCAAATAATAGATAAGTCAAAGTAGTCGACCAGGGTCAATTAGGCTATCGGAACACAAAAACTTAGCTAGGTCTAAATTGGTAGATGCTGAACACATGTAATAGAGATGACGCAACACCTATACCAGAGATATGGAAAATTTTGCTACCAATAACAACAACTCACATAAAGTGACGTAACTATAAAAATCAAATGTCGAAAGTGTTGTGGGATTACATTGATATGATTATGAGCAATGATAATTTATGCTCGTAACGTCGAGATTGCGAAAGCAGAATGTTAAAGCAATGACTGTTCGACGTCTGCTTAAGATTACTCCAATACTTCTCACCGAAATACATATTTCCACATGGAGGCAAATGCGTTTTCCACCACTAATGCCCATGAATTAAGCTACAACTAAAGGAAGTCACTAGTGTTGAACTCCTTGCAACGTATGCCAACTACTGACTTGTTTCCATAGTCTACATGTCTCCGAAAATGTTGAAGCATTTTCAAAATATATCAACCGGTAGGTAGACTTCTCCCCTACGGAATGCGGGACTCCTCATAACAAACTGACAATCTGCAATCGTGTAGTCATTGGCATTTTTCCTATTATGCGCACCTGAATGATAGTCGCCTATGCATAGAAACGCTGGTTTCCCCAATCATGAAGAACAGTGTGCACACAGCCTTACCAACCCATAAGTATACTCAAAAAACAGTCATAACGAATTGAAGCGTGTATTATGAGGAACAATAGTATTAGATTTTACATGATAAAATATGTCTGTGCAAACAGTCATACGTGAATGTCAATCAAGTAGGCAGGCTGAATGTCGTTTACCTATAGGAGAAGAAAAGATGTCGACACGTTAGATGATGCATGGAAAGTATTCTTGAAATTCAATTTCGAAAAGCAACACAGACTTGCATCGACCTACTTTTTATCATCTATTCTTTCCACACTAAGGTCAATGTGTACAAGTTTACTAAGATAGGTGTGGTGTAAAAACAAACTGTTTCTATACACTCAAAGGTGGCTTGAATTGATGGATTGCTGTCGCCCTCATAAATCTCAGTATACGTCCCTGTATACTGATAACTGTTTGAGTATGAATTTTGTGTCAGCATATGGCACAGGTAAAGTAGTGATGGACTAAGATAATGCAGGAATGCCTAACAACACGAGATGACAGATCTGATGGTGAGGACTTGTGGAAACCACCCGTATCTGAGACCATTAAACCCAATATACATCCTTCACTCTCCCTCCCCTCAACATTACAATCACTAAATTATCCACAGAGAAGAACTTAGGACTAAACGTTTCTGACACACTGGATACTACTGGTATTTATAAGGGAATGGCAGCAAAGGCGAACGCCATTATGCACTTTCTAAGAAGGCAAGTCGGATTGTTAACCCTAGAGTTAGTCCTCATGGTATCCAAAACCTATGTTAGACCACACCTAGAGGTGTTCGACACCATAGCCCTCCATTACTAAAAAGAGACGCAAATTCTCTTGAGAGAAGGTACAAAGAAGAGGAGCAATAAAGTTGGTTGTCGGACTAAACAATCACTCTGAATCAACTGCTTGCTTCTTGCATCCATTAAGGTGCAATCATATATGTGCACTAACTCGTGATCAGAGTACAGGAAGAAAGTCCAAAAGGAGTGGCTATTCTCCACAGACGGTTCATCGTAGTATGATCTGAGAACAATGATTACACTATTGTTGACAATAGGTAGAAACGGACGAGGATAACAAATCAGAATACAGAGGTAGAACTTGGTGGATATGTTACAATATGAACACAGGTTAATTTGTTTCATTGACACCTAACAAAGTCGAAGTGTATTGTTTGTCAGATGATGTTTCGTATCCACTTAACTGACCTTCTACACAACTGACAGATAAATTGTGTGTCTCTACTCTTCAAACAGCAAGTTGAAGTGGGGATATAATAAGTTAGTTGTTATTTAGAGAAATGTAGAGTGACTACGCTGGTGTTACTGCAATCAACTTTGAATCATTCAACCACTGATACTTTGAGAACTGCTTCCTTTACTCATCATGACTGCTGAAATCACAAATGAGAGTTTCCTTGCCACTGGCGGTTGTTTGGTGAAAATGAAGACAATAAGAAACAGACTGTTTATAGTTGAAATGTAGACTTAAGCTGTGAGAATTTTTCTACTATTCTCATCCTATTCCACATCGACTATTGGGTAGCAGTTTAAAGAAGATACCATTCGCGGCAAAAGTGAGTATTATGCACTTAAATGACATAATTAATCATTACTTAGTGCAAATACGATTTGCTTTGCTCTATACCAGTTGGTCACTTAATGATATATTTAGCTTACAACCAAGGTTATATGGTGAAAACATTCAGCATACAATTGAGTACTAATCTTGTCACAACAATAACCATATGCAACTGTGTGCATCACAGCATGGGACAAAGCAACTAGGAAAGAATCAGTGGAGTGATCTCGTTGTCTAGGAACAAGGGCCTAAAGCTCACGATTCCATGGATTGCGATTGAGCCAATCAGACAATTTCATCTACTACTAGGAACTACTCAGCCTGACGGGATGATTTCGCCAACCAGCCAGATACATCGAAGTGAGCTAAACATTGATAACCGTTTCATTCGCTTGGGACAGAATTCATCAGTGGTGTAACCCCATGGATTCAGTTCATACAGCCGGAATAGGTTAGATCACCCAAGTTGTTCAGTAGTGGTATACTACACTACATAGTTCATGGCATTTTTGTGAATGTAAACTGCCGATAGGTGGTTTTCAAAGGAAACCCTGTTGACTGGCAGGCACTACTACACTCGAGGTGGCAGTTGAAAAACTACTCGGTTGTGAAAACTGTCAAGGTGGATCGTGCAATTTGTAAATCATCTGCAAACTGAACACTCTATTGTAGTGGGTATATGGTACATTTTCGGTTTGTATACACAATCATACAGCATGAATACAACACACTACTTATACCACACGGCAAATCTGTCAGAGTCGTTGTGCACCTGGCACAGCCAGCTGTTTCATCCTAGTTAGGACCAAGATTAGCACTGTTAAATATCAAACACTTCAGTCACTAGGGTCCCACTTTTTTCAGGTCATAACATAACGCCTTCATCATCATCATCATCATCCAATGTCACCGGTGAGTAGCTGCCTGATCACCTACTACTCCACAGATTGGATCACACGCGATAGGTCCTGACTTTCTTATCGAGATTTAATCCCTCGAAATTCTAGTCGGATGCTGCGCATCGATGATAATCACTCTGCACAGGACAAATTAATTGACAGAGGTGGGTATTAGCGGCCTAGTGAACAACACACACACACACAGAGCATTGTAATCGACAGGTTCACAGCTATGCAAAATAACTTACATAGTAAATAAATAAATTAACAAAATGATTCCGTTTGTGGCTTGTTCAACAGGAAACAACTTCTGTCAGTTGAAAACGGAGGCGGCATAGAAGATGGTAAAACGAGTTGATTGAGTGTTCACAGTATCACCATCATTTGATAATTGGCATAGATGAGTGGTTGAGTTTTGTGAATTGGTTAAGGCGAATAGCTACTGAGATTGATTCGTTGGCTGATGCTGTTGATGATGGTTATAAGGATGAGGATGCTGTCGCTGAGCTGATGATTGTATTGAAGACCTGAGACATTGATCAGTAGTTGCAGTTGAACTACTCAGTGAAGTCAATGAATCAGTGTAGCGACGCATACTTGGACCATTCGAAGTGGTATTCCTATTACAACTACTGTTGTTGCGCACTTGATCTCTAGTTTGCACACATAAATGCATATGCACAAACCAATGTTTCGCTTGGCATACCCTATTGCAATACGATGTATTCCAGCAACAATAGTAATATGCTATACGTCCACAATAAGCGCACTGAAGTGTAGAAAAACGTGAACAGAAAAAAAAAAGAAAGAATCACCGTCATTCGCTTACAGACAGATTAATAACTGCCTTACGTTCATTCATTCATTCAGTAGTTATACATACATTTGTGCATGCTACAAAGATAATCGATCGTCCCGAAAATGGCTGTTCGACTTGTGTATCACAACAACACAACAAGTCATACTGACTGGAACGCTCATTTTCTCAACATCCTACCATACCTTAAGGGTATGTAAGATAGTGGTAGGATAAAAGGCAGTTGCATTGAGGTGTAAATTGCTACGCCCTGACATAAGTCAGAGAGCGAAGTCGTACTGCTGGCTGCCTGGACGGCCATATGACAGTAGTAAAGTGTTTCCATCGGATGACCAGCAGGGACATTCATTTGTCTTTCCTTCACACTATATGAAACTTCAGATTCTAGGTGAAGCAAACATTTCAATCAACACAATACACAGTAACCAGACGATACTCACTTGAAATCTTATGGCTTCACTTTATGTCTAGCTTGGTTTTGAGACGTTAGCGTTAGACGAAGACACAAATGTATAACTAAGTGCTAGATAGGAACACATAATTGCACTCGATCGACGTAAATACTCATAGCCTTGAGAAGTCCCCACAATACAATTTTAAGATGACAACCTCAATCATGTTCGTAACTCAGGGTGTATATATTCGTAATTACTATTTAATGCTAACCCAACTCATGGAGAAAGCTAGTCTGCATTAGGTCACTGCTGTTTGTCTGTCGCATGCAGCGGTGAACATAGTGGAAAGTATTCAAGAAGTAAGTTATCCCTGAAATATGGACAAGCAAGCAAAACAAAATGATGCACCGCCCTACTCTCACCCTACCCTAACCAAAAATGAATTCATCAACAAATCATAATCAATTGCACACAAACTAACCCATTGACATCGTTTCACTGCATCAACAATCTGTATAACATCTTCTTCCCATATTCTACCCGCTGACTCTACAACAGTCATTAGTTCATAACTCCAAACTCTGCGTAATTCAGCTATTCGACGATGCATCTCCAGTGTCATCTCAGCACGTGTATACGCCAGCAGAGCATTTAAGCGTTGATTCTCTTGTTCCATACGCAAAATTTCTGCTTCCATTAGACATTCCTGAAAAGTTGGTGGACGATGACCAAATTTTGACGGTGATGAGTGGGAACAACGTCAGTCTGAACTGTTTTACATTCCGTTGCTTTAGACGCTTTCAAGGAATTATCTACACAGGAAGAAGATGGTGATGTTGAGTCTAGATCAATATTGTGATATGGAACATTATTTTCATCAGTTTGAACAGCAACATCTGAACATATTGGAAGTAGGTGAGGAAGTTCTGGGGTACTCCATGGATGGATATCTTTAAAAGAAGAATGATCAAAGAACTCAACAAGAAGCAATATGAATTAGGTGAGAATGCCTCAACAAATGAACCAATCACAATCAATACAACTGCAAAAAGACACTACAATACAACGATTTCATGGCGTACAGGAAATGTACAAAGTGGACTGACTTCTGTCACTATTTAATCCTCGACATGTCTACATTCCTTCTTTCCACTATTATAACATCATGCACACAGACCTACCTATACTACGGAGGAATTTCGCATATGCCAAAGAGAAAAACATTATGTTCAAGGTTAGGCTAAATTTTGCTAAAGATATCCAGGAATTACACGTTTGCATTTATGTACACCTTAATTGTGTAAGAGTTAACTGGGGAGGAAAGATGCACAGAACTACACTACTATCAAATGTTACTCATTCAACTATTTAAAGGAAAGTCTCAGACATTAAGGATGGCTACTTGCTAGAAATGGAGTACAAGATACAAGTTTCATTCCAAGTCAGACTCATAAGTCCACCGATGATATCAATCACTGATAGGATGATCTCCGTCACAATTAAACATGTGTCACTGCTTCAAAGAATCACCTACGTAGCGACTCCATTAGATACACGCAATTCTTCGATTATAAGGGTGATCGAGCGACATTGTGATAGCCAGGAACTTATCGATAAGTTTTTGCAAAAAGGTCAAATCAGATTGGCCTGCATAATTCTACCACTAGACTAATTCAATGAATCAGGGTGACCTTATTCACCTTGAAGTGTTTTAAGTCTTGAGACTTCAAGATCTTGACAAACTTTACAGGGACAACCGTAGCTGACAAGCGATTCCTCAACATAGGGCTCTCCAAAAAATCCAACGTAGACCTTATATCAGGAAACACAAAACTTGTTGTTTATCTGTAACATCTATCACAGTATCCGAGCATTAGAGAGAAAATGAACGCGTGACTAACGCAACTACGAGTGTATTGAGATCACCAAGACGAACAATGCTAACGGAAACAACGTTCAAAATGGCAAAATCAAGATGTGACACGAGTTCAAGGAGTCTCTGACTGTTGGTCTGAGAAGCATTTGAGTGTGGAGGTGTAGACTGCTTACTTGAGGTCTACGAGGTAGTAAGAATCATTGGTTAGAGAGCTATGGTGATGAGGATGAAGGATGGTCATAATGATGCAGTTGCATTCTGCTTAAATAATGTTCGTTTTCTGAAACTCTTTCTCTTTCCACATACTGCTTCGTGATCATTCTTTTTCTATCCAGTTGTTCTTTTCATGGTGATACAAAATGTGACAAAATGAAGTGGTGTACTTCTTTGCCAAACTCCATATTGATTTTGTGCATCTGTATTAATCTTATTGACAAGCCATAATATGGATACCTGTCTGCTTGCTATCGACGTCTCAGATTAACTGGAACAGCCCTACTGTTTCCATTTCACTCGGGCATTCTAACTACCAAGTCTCATAGTCCTCGCGTAAATGCTGCATGATGTGTCATGTTAGGTTCTTATGCACACAAACACATTCGCTGTCAACTGGAAAACAAAGATGAGTCTTCAGCAAATGTGAGAAGCTAACAAAGACCGAGAGCTTATTCGCAGATTTACTCGCCTTTTCCATAGCGTACTTTGAATATATCTAGTGTTCACTAATGCTTCCTGAAGGTTCAATAGCTGTTATCAACTCACTTGAAAACTCTCCATAAGCCCTGACACAGCTGTGTGAGTTCCAGTGCAGAGCTTCGATAAACAAGTCGGGAAATGTGAACAAGTGTATGTTTAGTAACAACAACAATATTAGTGACAATAATAATAATAATAATAATAATAATAATAATAATAATAATAATAATAATAATAATGATAATAATAATAATAATAATAATAATAATAATGGAGTAATGAATGAGGGTGAAGTGAAAATCACGGCCGTGGTTACACTAAAACCAGTGACCTCCGATGTACCGGACTAGTTCTCTACGAAATGACCTACAAGATGATCATCACCCAGTGTACCAGCAGTGCACGTCTCAAAAGTCACGGCTGCTTTCTCACATAGTCAAGGTGATAATGAATATGATGCTCCCCACTCCCTCTTGTTCAACACGATTTGCATTGGGATGGGTAGTCTTGGCTGGAGAGCCAGTGTGAATACAATACACGGATAGTGGTGAGGCATGACGAATTCATATGCCAGTCGAAGGGCCGAATTCCCAAGTCATTCAGGTGAAATTGATATATGCTCTGAAGCTGGGTCTCTTACCCCTCTCACAGTTCGTAGATCAACGGCCGAGTAACTACACTGGTTCAATTCCTGGTATGGTCCAGATTTCCGTCACATCCTATCATCACCAAGTATCAACAATATGAGCCTGTTAAAGCACACCCATCTCAGATGGTCAAACGAATTGGTAATAATAGTAATGATATTAATGTTGATAGGAAAATAGTTTCATATTCCTCATCGGATACCACTCACCCCTATTACTTGTAGATTCCGCAATAATATCACACTTCTCCTCTAATTTCTGCAAAGCATTGTAAAATAAACTTCGAAAATCATTAAATGCCATTTGTACAATGTTTTTCGTATCTGATGTCGAGGGTCTTCAGAAAGTAGACAAAAAAGAAAAACAAAACACCAAGTATATGAATATCTCAGACATGTTTGTATTGAGTCAACACTCAATGCAATCTGAACAGTATCAGTAATATCTCTGACTAGTCTACACCGGTTCGAATCCTTCAGATGGACATCAATCACTGCAGATACGCCTTCCGTGTAAATAGCCATCAATAAGTACGAGTAAGGCTTCCTGTCGAGTGCCTACAACTAACATAAAGTTGATATTCAACACGGATGACAGGGGGCACTCGACAACTCTTTCGTCCTCGTAAGAGTTTCAAACCGTCTAGTGTTGCTTACTGACACATGCTTTTAATGAGGAATTATTACCGGTAGGACAAACTAAATCGCATGTGAGAACAGGTAGTACACGATGGTATTGGAGCATGAGGGCTGTGTCATTTCGCCAGCTGACACAATTAAGAAAATTCCGATCCTCTGACTTAACCGTAACGTACCCATGGCATAACCTGAAGTTCTTCAGTTCAAACCCTGAATGTCTGGGGATGGATCATGGCTGTGTACTGCTGAGAAGTCCGGTATGAGAGGGAAACAACTGTTTTCCAGCGCTTCCAGGTTCCTTCAAAGATTCTCCAACTGACGTCAGCGCGTGATGAATTCCACCTGAATATCAATAAATCAATCTCCCCACAAACCTTCAAATTGCTATATGGAATTACGTTGCATCAGTGCCTAAATTGATTCTCTATATCATCGTGACGTCGTCTGGTTAGAAACTACTCATAATCAACCAAGTCATATTCGACAGATGTTTTATCCTGGTTAAGAAGTTGAATGTATTCTCAAAGTCTACGTACAACAGTTGAGTTGAAGACTTCAAATTCCCAAAGTTGAGCATATTATAGAGTTTGCCCCAGGGGGAATTCAGAATTTCCAAGTCCAATCAAATTTTAAAGATAATACGTATTACGATTAGTTTAGTCTCTCATATGCACAATTTGACCCCCAATTCGCCAGGATCCCTGTTCCTACGATCCAAAGATACCACATACAATGTCATAAGCGATAACCTTTGCGTAATGAAACAAGCAGTCCATCAAATTAAGTTTGGAGGTGAAGAGGTATGGAGAAGTGAGGAGTTTACTGACCAGTTCATATCAACTTTCTGTGTATACTTCATTTTATCGCTCTCTATGCCTTTTTTATTACTAAGACATCGTTCTTTGTGTATAACTGTCAAGGCGACGGCTGGATGAACCCTAATCAATTTATTATCTTCATATATTGACTATAAAATTCCAACTGACCAACTGCATCTTCAAGCAAACTGTTTGTCAGTCTGAACCACATAGAAACTTGGCTTTACGCATTTCAATAAAGTGGCTTCAAGAGTTCTACTAACCGTTTTGCTGTTGGATGTTATGCTGGTCCATTGGACATTTCAAAATCCGTCTAGTGTACAGCGATTGATGAAGATCTAATCGAAAGAAAATAATCCTTCTCTTAATGATTGGTGTTGAAAAACAGTGCAGACATGGGAACTGAACCACACAGAACATTAGACTCCTCCTCGAGTCGCTAACGTCAGGTTATATATCTCAAAACCACTCTCTGTGTGACTTGTCTCTCAGTTTCATTGTTACCCGTGCATGATTACAGTGCTACATAGTGTGGATCTACGTACTACTGCCGAAACCGAAATCCGCATAACTGACTCCTACACATTCCTGGAGTAGGCAATGAGCGACACCGCCCAATGTATGAAGGATAATGATACTACCACCTAGCTGCCCAAACCCTGCTAGGTAGAGTAGTGCTCGAACTCACGACTCATCCACTCGATGAAAGTCAACTTCCTACACCACTCTCATGTAATACTGTGATATCGTGACACAGTTTACAATTGATTATGAATTTTATTTTGCGTGGAAACATTTTTCACAACCTCAAAAACACAATGATACCTCATCTTCTTGTGGGTCCATGCGACAACAGAAACTGGTGGTTGGAGACCCTACAGGTGTGATATAGCTCAAAATCCATAGATGTAACCGCACATTATCCTCATCTTAATCATCATACTAAATTTCAGTATTCTATCATTCCACCTTAGTTTCTGTTCGTGAATTCCCACCACTTTTGACAGCTTCCTTTCTTATTCGTTTGTCTTTTCTCTTGGTGCACATCCTCACCTGGTGTGTTGATTTGTGAGGAAGTCAATGGATCAACATGTGCTGTAGTATACATAATCGAGTCATCTCGACCGACGAACGTTTACTACTTCATCAATCGACTTGCTTGTCATGCTTTGTCTGACCTCAACATTGCTCACATACCATAACGCGAGCAGTGGCTATAAAGATATCTCTGACCTAACCCCTGTAATCGCTTCTTCTCATTTTCCACTTTTAGCGCCTATATCTCAAAGCCGTATAATAACAGAGAACGAACTCCAGCACAGTAAACAAACACACGTAATACAAATGAAACAGCAGCTTACAGTTTATCCACTATTCGTCGTAATTCATTTGACAATGAAAATGGATGAGAGTTAACTTCATCTGGTGAATAGTCAGGTAATTCAGCATTGTAAGCAGTACTCATGTTCTTATTAGTGACATCATTACCATCGTCATCATCATTGACAGCAGTTACTGTAATAGCTTCGCTTATCGATACTAATGACGAAATAGGTTTATAGGAAGAATTCTCCTTTCTTTTCTTCTTCCTACATCTACTACTATCGTCAAATTTGACGCCAGACTGGCACTGCACAGCCGATGCTAATGACGACAATGATGGTGACATTGTTTTCACTACATCAGGACACTTTCGTTTCAATTTATTGTCAGTAGGATCACCTTCAGTGACTATTAAATGATCAGCAGTAGATGATGTAATCGGTGAGTTATAGAGACTAGCTGCCACACGTGCTAATACTGGTTCATGATAGAAATTAGACGTTGGATACAGTTTAGCAATTGTCATTGATTCCTTATGATTACTATTATTCTTGTGTGTATTAACTGCCCTTTCCATTGTCGAAGGCGGTTGATGAGAACCAGAAGAAACCCCAAGCGAAGAAGTAGAAGCAGAAAGAATCCCACTAAATGGTCTGAAAAATAATTAGAAAAAGTATATATACGAAAAGCATATAACAATAACGATCAATTGGACAGATAGATGAACAATGAAAACAGCGTACATCAATGAAGAGATGAACAGTTGAAGACTTTGATCGCTGAAGTAAACATACAGGCTGGTCTATAGATTTCGCCAGTCAGATAGATAAGAGCGATTCGCTATACTGAATAAGGAACTTATCGCACTTTTCCTTCATCTCTTTTACTGCTTTTGACTGATTCCTCTCCATTTCTTTGTCTTTCATCTGTTACTTCTTCTCCTGGAAGGCAGATACGGTTCAACTAACCAGTTTCAATTAGGGCGGAACATGAAATCCACTCTTAACAAATATCCATTCCACTGGTTGCAATTAAAACCAGTGTCAGCTATGCTAATTTAATATGTTCAGTTCGTTCATTCATCAAAGAACATAACTATCAGTGAAACCGGTTCTTGGGAATCAACATCCACTCACTAGGATGCAGGTACATCCAGCTGGCGAGTGACTCCCAAATACGAAGAAACACGAGGCCTAAATACAGCAGCTCATATGCGGTTATTGACCAGTCATCTCGGTCCAATCAACAATGGAGATTCATTAACTGCAATATCAGAAAATTTCCTGTTTTCTGACTATTTAGTCTACACTATCATTCTACTCACCTCTCGAAGAAGGAATAACCTACTCCTTGGTTTATCACATAATATTCATCAAGGCTGGTTGACTATAAACTACTCCCAATGATGTTATCAGGCATTAATTATCACTGTTGATAAGGTAGTTAATTAAAAATTGTCAACACAAACGCCTACACGACGGCTACCAACGCACATCAATCACTGAAGCTCACTACCTACCTGACAGAATACACCAATGGGAGAGATTTATCACGGACCAAAAATATGTTTATTACTGCAGCAATTTTCAAAGTCATAAGTAGTTTTACTCGCCATTCTCATGGTTTGTTGTAAAGCAGTCAATACTCATTCTTACATTCTGAAGGTTCGATCTAGCTATCTTAGTTCAGTAACATCAAATGTAACCACTTTTGAGTCAGTCACAACTAATATTTTGATCATAGTATCCTTGAACATTGACTCTAGCATATATCAATCAGTTTTTCTCAATTCCGTCTTGAAATATCACATAAAAAAAACTGTAACTTGTATATACAAGTGCAACAGAATGATAACAATGCAAGACTAAGCTGATGCACCGTTAGACAAGACAACATCACACATGGTTGAATGATAAATGAAGTAAATAAAGTATCTTTGACATGTGTGAAATCTTCTCTAGGATGATGTTATTCAGTAAAGACTAACTAGGCGTATTTCATAAAACACAGAAACTGATTATAGATTGATTGCCGATATAACTGATCAAAGTTTATCATTAAGTAGGTTTGTGATATCACCGCTAAGCTGGGTGACACGACACATGACGAAGCGATGTGCTTAGTGTGACAAAGGTGCAAATATATTTACCTTTTAACGCCTTTGAAAGCCTGAGTATTTGCACCAGTCTTTGTCTTCAAATTACTTTTTCTCTTACACAACCTTCCTATTCACTTGCTTTTTGTATGTTAACGTGAAGGGTGGCAATCGATGCACATCTGTACGAGGTTCCATGTTGATTTTATCATGACGATTTTACCCTTATGGTTATATGAATCCTCAGATCTGATCGTCAAGAGTACTATGCTGCAGTTCGCTCTGTTCTACTCTATGGCTGTGAAACACATGGCAATTAAAAGGTAGACGACATCAAAAGATCCAAGGTGAGTAACCACCATTGTGTTCGTAGCACAGGTCGCTTGTTGTGGTATAACCGTGCAAGTAATTCTGAAGCTAGTAGTGGAGTTTTACAGACGGTAAGAAAGTCAGTTGATGAGGTGGTGAACCTACACTGAATGAGTTAGTTCAAACATGTGTTATGCATGCCTAGTCACCCAATGTCAATTCACTCAGGTTTAAGCTAGAAAGAGGACCAATGAGGCCAGAGTAAAACACAGTATCAGTGAGTAAAGTCATTAACTGCTGGTTTCAGGCATGTGTAGAAATCCAGACCAACCGGTTTGAGTTCGCATGACAACACAAACCCATGGTTAGATACTCTAATTGACGATATGATTCAGAATCTCTCTCTCTCTCTCTTCAGAAGTAACAGAAACTTTTGATTACTTTCTTATTTCTCTGTTTTTCATTTCAGTGCCTCCTACGTTAATATAAGATGTAGCAATATGGACTGCTGCGCAGTAATTCAAGGCAGCACCCAGATGCTGACATACTGTCTCCAACCAAGTTGCACCAATTGCGCTACCAAAGAGATACCCAAATGTAAATTAAGTGTCCAGTGTGTAGCTTGCTTAGCAGCTGATTCTATCCTACCCTATAGCTGTGAGAAATACATTAAAAGTGTGGCATTCATAAGTACTTTCTCACTATGGTGGAACCATCTCCAACCAACAACATGCATGTCAGATAAAGAGGGTAAAAAGTTGATGAGATTATAAACTACTGTTAACTTAGCAAGTAGGTGCATATGTAAACACTTGCTAGCTATTTTATAGCTGACAATCGAATACCTAACTTAAAACATGATACAGTTCAAGTACATTTCGATAAGTTTCAAATTAACACCTGTTGAGTTTGTCAGAAAAAAAAGAGAGAAATCGAAATAAAGAAACTAAAACCTTCATTATCGACTATACGTTAGAGGTACCTAAATTATTAGGTTTTACTAGACACTTTCAGCGCACAATTGCTAACATGACTAAATACACATACATGTTGTCATCAGAACCACTCACGTTATTCCATCTACACACTTCATAGAGACGTTTAGAAACCACGACGACGACAAACTTTAAACACAGAACTGCAATAACAATGAAATCATAAACCAGTGTTTCAGTGTCGTGAAGTGCTTAATTTCAAAACTTTGATCCTACATCCCGATGGATGCATTAGGTCTTTAATGTTCACATATGAAGCTAATTGTGAGGATCTGAAGGTCTCAAAGCTCAATTCCTCATGAGATTGTGGGTGAACAGTTGTGTGAAAATCCTGAATTCAGTATGGCGGTTAAGATAATCTATAGAAACATCTGGCCAGCTGATATCAATTTATTCCGAGCTATATCATTAACTAAAGTATTTCTTATCGTATGGAACCCAACCAGCTGGACTGCATTCCTCTATATGGTTAAAACCAACAGTCAAAAACTTCATGCACTGATGCCACGTTTTCATCTGTCCACGCAGAGCCTTTATCCAACCTAAATATACTTCAGCCAACTTTGTGTAACAAGGGAGACAGTCACTAGACATGCGTAACAAGATATTTCCCAGTCATCTGAGTCCAGAATTCATGAATATCACAAATATAAAATTATTATCATTCTCTAGTTAAGTGAGTGGTGAAATATTTCTACTGTGACAACTCAGTGGACTCAGTTTACGTACTTTTATCGACTCGACTGATGAGCCATATCGAGACACACGACTAATTCGATTTGGATGTTAATCAACAAACAAAGGTAACAAGTTTGAAATATCAAGCTACACTCATTGCACAAGAGGTTGCTGTCACAACTCTCCACTGTTCTGGTGTTTCAAAAACTATGCGGCGTTGCATTCAAATTTCAATGGGAACATTATCCCCGTCAGATCCAGGTACATTCATCTCACCAGTCCTAAACAGCAGGAAACAAATATCTTGGGTAACATTACCAGCCGTTATCCATTGACAATATCAAGACGTGATTGGTTGTTTATCAGACGAAATGAGGTGGGCAATGTTCTCTTTCCTTCTTTCACTCACCCATTTGGCATAGACTGCACGCTTAGAAAAATAGGAACAGCATCTCATGCTTCAGAGTGACGCGATAAAGATCAACGAATTCAATTCTCTTTTTTTTTCATTTTTGTATTGACCGCAAGTTATACTTTATTTTTAGAAAAACAAAGGTCGAGGAAATGAGAGGGTATCACAAAAACAGCATAATAATATCTTACTAATTTTATATTCTAGAATAATAGCGATTAGAGACATGTAGAGATGAAAAGGTAAACAGAAATCAACAGTAGAAGACAAAAATTATTCCCAGACTGATTACTTTACACAAAAACTAAGTCGTCTATCCAATACACTACACTATGATGCTAATAAGAGGCTTTAACTACTCCATTGACCTACGTAACCCAGTCTTACACAACACATATTGGTCATTAACCAAATAGCATAATGGTAAGACTATTCAACTTCAAGACTGATTAACATGGCTTCAAACTACCAGCAGAAACAGTTTCCTCAGGGTTGTAGATTCACCTTGTTGAAGTGTCCGATCAGGTGCGAGACATAAGATATGAAAAACCTTCTGATAACTGAATACCAATAAATCTAAAACACAGCATACTTAGCTTGGTCATTAAGGGCACAATCTACCATAGCATGTGATGTCAATAAAAGTAGGAGTTAGATAAGGAAAAGATTAAAAGTTGTCAGATTGAATCATGAAGCCAGTGTCCATGAAGTTTCTGACTGTGGATCTACACCATGTGTATGTTGGCATTCAAGACACAATCCACTCATCAAATAGATAACTGAAAACTCTAGGCGATAGGATTCAGGACAGATTGGGCTGGTGTATAGGTGTATTCACACCTTATCTTCATCTTATAAACGGGTAATAATGAATTTTATCATTTGCTCAACTCCCTCCCACTTTTTTGCTTCTAATCCATTTCTATACATTTTCATCACATTTTTATTTCTCTCCTACTTCCTGTTACCCTACATCGTGTGCTACCGTCAAGCGTGCTGACTAGAACAATCACAGCAGTGAGATTTCTCATGACAATTAGACACTAAATAGTCATCCATCAATTCACCACCATACATGGCGAACAAACAAGAGTAACTTTCGTGATTCAACAGTGAAGTGGATAACGCCCTGGTGTTTTTGTAGTCTTCGTCCTGGCTATCAGTCTTACTGGGAACAACAATAATCACTGGGAAGTAGATACATCCAGCCGAAGTGTGAGTCCTAAATATGACGAACCTGGATCTTGATTCCCACGGCTGGCCACTATCAATCATTGCTATGAAATTTGAAAACAGTGACAATATCGAAGCATCTGAGCACAGGACGAGGTCATATATGCCAATACTGGTCCAGCCAACAACGCAGATTTACAAGGTATAAACATAGAAGACTATGAAATGTCCATCGTATTCATTACTATCATTATTATTGTTATTCGAAAATCCACAAGGGTGCATACAAAAAAAGGAGAAGTGATGACGTGAACGATGTTTGCAACGGAATAAGAAATTTAAAGCCACTGTAGGGCTTCCATATACGAAAGAGACATTGGGTAGCCTACATAGGATTCTCAACAAGGGTGGGATTAGATAAGCGGTGGCAATCAAACCTATAATGACTCAGTTAGACTGACTAATTTAATTGACCACATACTCTGCAATGATTGTAAGGCCAAGGCGTTTAGGTTAAACAAGTAGAGTAGGTTAGTCGAAAATACGGGAACCTACCCGAGCCCAGATTGATAGACCTTACTATGATGAGTAATCTAGAGAAGAATTTGGTCGTGGCTATCCATACGACAGCACACGATAACACGATAGAGTAGAACAGAGTTACAGTCATGGCAACCAATCTAGTTAAAAAGTTGAGCGAGAAATCAAGACAGAGGTTGATCACTGAATCCTCTAGTCATCAATTCAACATCTAACGAGTGTAATCGAAATGACACAACACTAATTCTGGGTGTGTGGAAATATTTACCACCAATTAAATCAAAGAATGAAAACAATAGAACTAAAAGAACCAAGGCCAAAAAGTTGTATGATTATCACGATATGATTGTAAGCGATGAATTCTGCTAGAAACATCTTCTAGTCAGTAATGCTACATCGCAAAGTGCTATATCGAGAATAGACTAAACAAATAAGGATGTCAGATATGAGGGCAGTTTTTCAAAGACTACATGGGATAGAGGTCATGCTATATTATCAACTGGCAGAAGTAAGAAGATGCGTACAAATGAACTCCAACCCAGTAGGTGGATGGTAAGTGACAGGGTGGTCATGGAGGCTCCCGAGCTCCACCTCTGGGGTGGCAGCGTCATAAACGCACACCACTAAGAAGTCTCGTATTACAACGAAACAGCTGCTGTCACCGCTACCAGGTGCTCAATGGTTCCCAAAATGACATCAGTACGTTATGAATACCAACTTAAAATCAATAAGTGAATTAAATTTCACCACGGTGCCTAAATTCAATACTGACACTAGCACAGAAGTGACCGAAACTTCTTCAGTATACCTTAGATGATTGTTTCTCATCCGGAGATTAAATAATTCTGTACTACCGTTCTTTGTCTTGTCTCTTCTCATACAAGTGTATAACTGTTAGAGAGTTGACAACGTAAATACTTCAAGTCAATTACTGTTTGAAAACTAGATAGTGTGTATAAATAGTAGTCATAATGCAGATATAAATGTGCATATACTGTACCTTACCAAGTACCTCGTCCCACCTACAGAGTGATAAGTTCAGACCGAAAAGGACTTCTCTCCCTGTCTCCTTTCCACACCACAGGAGATTGTGACTAGCGTAAGACATTTGAAAATGCATGGCATGGACATATTTGTACATGGTCAACCGTCAAAACATACTGCGACGTGGAAAACCAACAGAAATAGGATTGGGTGAAATAAGAAAGTTCAAAGTGTGGTGGTCCAACGAAGACATGACATCAGTTCATGAAGTCTCTGATTATTGATGTGAGCCGTATATGGAAGTGTAGACTACCTGGTTGAGATTCCAGACAGCATAGAAATCAAAGAGATTGAGGAATCTTGGTCACATGGATGAATACCAATTAATCAGAATACCGCAGATTCATTCACTCTTTGATGTCTTCTAAAGCTTGAATACTTTCATCACTAACCTCTTCTTGTACAACATCCATCTACTCTAATATTAATTTTCCCCGATATATTTGTTCTTTATATGCTGCCGTGAGGTAAAACAACTTGAGCAAACACATTTCTAGACTGATTTCATCTCTCTCTCTCTCTCTCTCTGTTCTCCAATCAGTTCACAGTACACTTACATTGAAACACTGATTGCCTGGACTATAAACATTTACAAATATTACTTTAATACAGAATCATTACTGTTTATTCATTTGTTTTAATATTAACAAAACATCTTCCTTACCCATAATATTTTTTAGCACGTTCTCTAGAATATTTAACCTGACTCTGAGGTAATTTGAACTGTGGATAACGTTTGTAAATCAACGCCAAGTGATAATTCAATTCTTTGACGGCTCTAATGTAATTGGCTTTTACAGTTGGATCGTCAACGCATGTTAGCAGTGTTTTGGTAGTCTGAGAATCTGAAGTAGATGGAAACGATTCAGATACTTTCGAATAGTTGCCTATTCTACTGTCGCCGTCACCTGCAATATTCGTACCATTGTTAGCAGAATGAATTGATGCTTCCAATTTAGACAACCGCTTACATTGATCACTTGAATGCAATGTGGCTGAGTCAATCGGTGCAGTATTCGTATCATAATCACCAAAATATGAGACTAACAGACGGCTACCATCATGCGCAATGACTTTAGCCGGCCAACGTGGAAACTTTTGCAGGCGTATCCAGACAAGAGGATGAACAACATTCTAAACAATAGTATGTTTTTGGTAAGAAAAAAATTCATGCAACCACAGTGACACTGCAAAGGGGTTACTTTTATGAAAATGTAGTGTCGGCAATAGACTAGGTGAGCTCTATGCACACGCTAACACACATACACATACGAGAAAACCACATTAGGTGAAAATCTGAAGAAAAGCTACAACAGACAGATCGACAAAACCAAAATGGAATCTTGCACAGAAGTGCATTGTTTTAAGTTGTCGAACTTTACACCGCCAGGCAAAGAAAAACTCAACAGCAAAAGGATGATAACAAAGCGGATCAGTTTATGGGGGTGGGGGGGGGAACTTGATGAAATGAAGGTTACTAAAACAGAATACATCTGCACCATTGCAACTGATTTGCAGCCTGGTTACCAAATGTCTACAATCATTCATTCCTGTTACCTCATACGCCTCAACCAACCAGTCTACACCTCCAAACACACCTTAAACCACGTGCCTCAACCAATCAAGATCAAAAGCCAATTTCTCCTCGTATATCGCCTGTTCTTCACTCATCAGCTTGCATCATCTCTGACGCCCACTGGTGACGAATCCGATTATTGACCAAAGAGCGAATAATCTGCGCTGCAGTTCATTGTTCTGTTAAGGGTAGAAGACATGAAGCGGTTACAATGTTCTGACCATAGGTGTCTTTGTTACATTGCTTGCGTTTGGTGGAATCACCGTGAGCAATGTAGAGGTCAAGTAAAGGGTACTAGGGAAGATATGCAAGTTGATTGCTGAGGTTGTGAACCGCAGTCAACTGAGATGGCTTAGATATGCATTACGCATTCGGTTCCACTGATTACCTCGATATGCAATACTACGGGAAGCTGGATTAGACTGGAAGAGGGACCAGAGTGACCAGACCAAGAAGTAACAGCAGTCTATCAAGTCCCTGACTGTTGGTCTGAGCCATGTGGGGAGATGTAGACTACCTGGGTGACTGGTCCCCGAGTCAATAAGAATCAGCGATTGAGGACTCTTGGTGACATGACTGAGGATCTGTCACAGTAGAGCAAATTGTATTCACTCTCTGATGTCTTATAAAGCTTGGATATTTGCACTCACCTTTGTCTTCAAATACTTTATTCTTTCACACAGCTTTGTCTACGTTGATCTCCCTCTTTTTCGATACAGTTGTTCTTTGTATACTGCTGTGAAGCGTGACAGCTAGAAGTGATACATTTGTGTGCAGTGCTCTACCTTTATTATGTCTGTCAATCTACCTGCATGTCCTTGTGAATTGTGCTGCTTTTAACTGATGTACTTCTACGAAAGAGTTCATATAAGTGTGTTTATGATATACACTTAGCTTATTTGGTATAATCCAAAGCTGATTGATAGACGTTGAACAGTATATAATGTAATGATTGTTGATATCTAGCACTGTCATATTATGCCAGTTTGACAGGCGGTGACAACCAACAAACAAAAACACTCAATAACTGCTGAGATGCAGGTATGTAGCGTCACTGTCCACTGCCTAAGAGCTTCTAAAATAGAATGAAACAGTTGCTTAACCTCACTCTCTCCTTTACATCTTAGTATCTCTCCATATGATATTCAGGATGCGATGGGAATTATCCTCAGTATGACTAATTCACTAATATCCATCCAACTCAAAGGTATCATAATCGTTGACCAAACTTCACAAGTCATTATAACCGATCACCAATAAGTATTGACAATATACTCATAAATACAACTTAAAGAATGAGTTACACAAAATGGCTTTCATTATCACTTGAAAAATAAGCTATACTATCTTGAAGAACATCATACAAACAGTAATAACTTACGCATAATTTACAAAACCACCAAGGATCTAATTTTGATGAAGATGAATCACTTATCCATCTATTATCAGTAGTACTACAACCAACATCAGTACGCCTAGAAACTGATTCCAAGTAGGAAATAGGCTCATTTTCTGTCAATGGAGGCAGTTTAATATCTGTTGTTGGCAAAACATCAATAGCTGCCATACGATTAAAATAGCATGTTGGGCAAGCTAGCATTAGGGTTAACTCACAACAGCATGTACGGTCCAGCAGACGAACTGATGATGAAAGCGGAGAATCAGCTACAATGATAACAAGAAATATGTTAACATACACATCTGTTAGGAAGATTTGTGCAAGATTGATCTATACAAAGATGGCTTCTACTATACAACGATGAAATAATCAGTCAAGGGAACAGACAGATAGATAAAACTCACATTGAACACCGTACACAACTATATCACTTCCAGTTGTTACACTTCACAGTAGTGTACAAAGACTGACATCAGAGTAGAAAAAGGTGTATAGGAGGATAGAAAATTTTGATTAAAAGTGAGGCTTAGTCAAAACATGTGACAAGCTTTAGAAAATGTCCGACAGGGAATAAACTAGTGTCCGATTTTGTGACCGATTTCCAGACATTTCATCAAGACTCACCAACCACTCATCCCTTTTGTCTCAAGGATTTCATTCAGGTAGTCTGTATCACCGTAAACGGCTGAAATCGAAAATCAGTAACTTCATGGACACTCTGGCCTCTAGCAGCATTGCATGTCGAGGTAGGCGGCGGCAGTGGCTCAATAACTAACTAAGAATTTTAACATGTCTCATGACAGAGAAAAACAACTCACTGGGTTGTGGCTGAGCAATGTTGAGGAGTTCCATACTAGGATGAAATAGATGTTGTTCAGGGATCCCACGTTTCCAATGTCCCTCCAACTGATTCCGGTCCATGATGAATACCAACTTGAAATCAATAACCCCCTCCCACCACCCACCCACCACCAAATCCCATTAATCTAGTGCGCGCTGGTAACTAGTTTCAACAGGTGATTCATGAAATTCCAATGAGAAGTTGTGCTCAGTGGGGCAAACCTGATGGACGTGAGGAAAACTACTCAACGATGACACTGGGTGACGGTTGCGGTATGTGTATTTGAACTGGCAGAATTTGGAAATATGGACCACTGGATTCCGGCCCAATGGCTCAATGCTGACGTGTTGACCGCAAATTTCACAAAAAAACCAACAGTTGTAACTTACAAGGTTGCCTCATCAAATCCTAGTGAATACTCGCCGATAAAGACATTGTGCGATGGATGCACTAGATTATAAAACTGCCAGCCACGCACAGCCTGTTAGACCTGGTGGTTCTTAGTTCAATCACATCCCATGTCAGGCACTTAATCCACAGGGAAAAAAGCTACAAACTGGGATTCATCAGAGACTGACATCAGTTGGAGAACCATTGAAAAACTTGGAAGTGCCAGACAGCTGTTTTACACTAGCATGAGACCCATGAACTTCAGGTTTTGCAACCAGCACTTCATTGTTACGTCAAGGGGTCAAGTCAAAATCACCACTTCTCATTAGAAGTTCACGAAGTCTCATCTCACAACAAGCTACTAATGAGCATTGATTGGACTAGTGATTTAATTAATTTGAAGGTTTGTTGGGGTTTGATTGATTGCAAGCTGATGATATTCATCACGGATAACAGAAATTGAAGTACACTCAATTTGTCAACTTGCATCGAATGACGCAACCAAGGTAAATTTGATGCCCGTCAAAATACCGCCTCGTCTAATAATAATAATAATAATAATAATAATAATAATAATAATAATAATAATGATAATAATGATGATGATAATAATAATAATAATAATAATAATAATCTGAGATTATGGATTCAGTGCGATGTACGTAGCAAATATAAACTAATCCATCTTTTAATAGAAAGAGAGACAGACAAAGCCAATGTGGAAGCCCTCACACAAGTGCATCGCTTCAAGTTGCAACCTTTCACAGTGGTATACGGAGAGCTGACAAAAGTTTCCTACAGTCAACTATCCTGCTTATCAGCACTTTTCAGCAAGGCAATTATGCAACATCCCCAGAGACTCCAACATATTCTACCCAATTCTCCAATCTGAAACCTAACCAATGAGCTATTCGCCACATGACGACTAACATCCTATACGACTGGATTGGACACAACGATTAGTCTCACACTAGAGAGAAATCAAATTCTATATTGTCTAGTTCTAAGTGTTCATCGAATTCTACCAATCAGTTTGCTATGGGTTACCAAACCAGAAAGAAAACTCTGCATCATGATGCACATTTAGGTGTTCGTTTCCTATCACACTTCTAATTACATTTGATCACATCATCATGCAATCGGATCCCCTTCATTGCTACTACTGTCTTTTCTCTGTTTGTTTAAAGTGGAACAATGTTTATGCAAGGCCTAAAGCACGAACAATAATAATCGTTGAAGATTGACAAGAATTTTTAATTTCTCTCTTTATTAACGTAATTGTTAGTTATCTATGTCAGTTGGTCAGTCGATATCACCACGAGACATACCATCACTGCCAGGGCTGTTGTAACTCATTCGTCTAAACAGACAACTTTCATCAGCCAGGTTACGAGTCCGAACCCCACTCCAACTTACAAGATCTCAACGACCAGGTAGTACCGTAACACGAGTCACAACATAATAAGTGTGTGACTCACCGCCACCCTCATCAAAGTCAGAGTGATTGATGAGTTTCATTTTAAATTTCTTCGTGTAACTGGGACACAAATTCAGTCTACCACACCTCATAACAGTATACGAAGAAACAACGTTGAATATACGGGAACAAGAACAGAATGGTTGGAAAGCCGTCAAAAAAACATTGAAGGAAAAGAGAGTATAAAGCAAAGCAAGTAACAGTATGATTTAACAATCCAGATAACAATACGATAGGGCTTAGATGAATCTGTGCCAGTTACACCAACTCTGAATAATGTCACACAGAATCCAAAACATTGGTCCCACCGACCACGATCACTCTTAACTGTCTTTCAACTCAACCCTACCTCAGCTAAGATTTCGCATTGCGGAAGGACGAAGATGAGGTAAAGATTCATAAAATCATCAAGTGCATCGCCTCAAGTTGCCACACTTCACTGTAGTACACGAAGAACAGGTGGACACAAAACGAGTCATAAAGTAGTGTGGAAGAATAAACAATCTGAAGATGAAGGTTAGTGAAAATATTCAAGCTTGAGAAGACGCCAAATAGTGTAGGGTGAGTCTGCGCCATTGTGAACGATTTTCAGCCACGTCCTCAACCAATGATTCCCTTCTTCTCACCGACCCCAACCAGACAGTCTACATCTCCCAACACAGATCAAGCCAACAGTCAGGGACTTCATCCATTCGTGCCACTCTGAACCCTTTTCCTTCCTAATCCAACTTACACTAGCACGACACGTCGAGGTAGGTGGTGGCTCAGCAGGAGCAGCTCACTACATGTCCACGCTATCTTAGTCGACCAAGGTTCACAACCTCGTCAATTTACTTGCTGGCCTGTCTTGCCCAGTAGAAGGTAAATACCTCTGAAGTCAGACGTACATAGGGTCGTGTCCATCAGCATGTCTATGACAAAGTTAAATAAGAACGGTGACACTGGATATCCATGCCGGACACTACACTACTTGTTCTCGTCAACTCACTTGACAACTCTCATATCCCTAACCTTTAATGACCATGTTTCGCAGTTAATAAGTTAGACAGCGAACCACTGTGTAAAACAATCGACCCTTAGTGTGCGTGCAACCGTACATTTTGCCAGTAATATAGATTAGGAAATTCCGATCAACCCTTTTGCATTCGTCTTGGTATTTCGTCAATCTCCGACAACTCAAGTGAAGTGATCAAATGCGCTGAATCACTTCAGTCCCTATTGTTACATGACGTATTGACACAGATCAGTTCTGAAGTAGTAATTTCGACTAGAATTGTCGGAGAAACATCGCAAATCCACTCAAACCGTTACTCCTGGTGTTCACATAACTCTGCATATTGTCAGCACCTTCACTCATTACAACTACTTCTTTCACCTACACGAATTCAGCTTTTGTTTAGTTAGACTACAAGGAGGAGATCTGCCATCATAAAATCGTCGTCCACAATGAAACAAAACTAAAAAGAGAAAGAGAAAGAAAGTGAACATCCTTGCCAAACAACATTCGATGTAGACAGCTCATATAGGCTATAACAAGACGATGAATAATGCTAGCTAGCTAGGTGTGTGTAGACTTTCCATGGTCACATTCATAATCAATCATTAACAAGTAGGTTAAACTAAATCTACTGTGTTTCATTCACCACAGTAACAGTCATGTAAACCAAGTCTATCCCCATTTGGAAAATGTCAACCACTAGTCATTGTATAGGATCGTGATAAAAATATTTTTATGTAGTTTGAATTACTAACAAACTATCCCTCCTCTTTTCCTCCTTATATGATCCATTGGTTGTCATTGACAAACAACATTTATGATTTTCATTCATGATATATTGACATCGACAGAATCGAAATCCACTCAGCAATCACCTACACGGTTGTGCAGTGAGCGGAAGTGAGCCACACCACTTTTTGTACATGAGAGCTAGCTGTCTAAGCCTCGATAGGTGAAACGGTGCTCGAATATATGACACGTAACCAATGAGTAACAACACATGGTATTCATATTTCTGCATATTCAGAAATCTATCATTTCCACATTTCCCAGTGCCTGATGTTCTAGCATATTCCTTATGTATCTTCACAAATTTGAAAAGGTTTCGTCTATTTCGGCTGAATTATTGACACAGAAGTTGATTTTCACGTCTTGAGCATCAAACGACATAATGTTGTTTTGTTTCAACCACTATTCGTAGTCGGTTCAATATTATCAATTTGAACGCATCGCAGGCAGTAATAATAATAATAATAATAATAATAATAATAATAATAATAATCGCAATAATACAAGTGCGGGAGAAATATTTTCATTAGGGAGAGAATACTTTATAAATCCCTTATCTATCTTACAATGCTAAATCAACTCACCGCCGTTAAATACGATACAATTATGTGGGATCCAGCGAAAATCTTCGAGAAACGCTTGAGGTGAAGGATAAACACCTTCTTTAACTCGCTTAAAAGATTTTTCACGTCCAGTGGGAAACAAAAAGATAGAATGAAGAATAAGTTATCAGAAACGGGTGGAGGGCAACGAAATTTGAAGTTAATGAAGGTTTCATTTTCAAGGTAATGTTATTGATAGATTGATACTCGGGAACCATTTAGAACGTGGGAGCATTGGAAAACTGTTTCGTCCCAGTATGGGACTCCCTAGCAGTGGTAATCCATGACCCACACCCATCCACAGATTGGACGCACAACATGGGACGAGAATGTCCCCCAAAGAGCTACAGGGTCAAAATACAGTGCTACACTTGTTCCTACATTTTCCTGTCAGTTTGCGATATGCAGTATGGCCCACATGCATTGATGTCATTGAGTATCTGTTCTCATTTCCCACTTGGTTCACAACACACCAGTCACAACTTCTCACTAGACCTTCAAGAAATCTCATCCCACAACAAGTCACTAATGTGTACTGGACAGGTTTCTAAGGATTTATTTATTCACTTCAAGCTGATATTCACCGCAAACTGACATCAGTTCGAGAACCATTGAGAACTTTGAAGCACTGGGTTCGACCTCCGGTAGGCTCAGAAGAGGTATATATTACTGAGGACACCAATTTACTAGGATGAAACAGTCGCTGTTCACTGCTCTCGGGTTTCCAATGGTTCGCTAACTTATGTCAGTCCATGATGGATAGTACGTTGAAACCAAACAAATCACAACAGACCTCCAAACTTGATTTCAATAATTCTCTGAGCAACGTCAAATCATAGACTAGTTTTGTGGGTTTTTATAGGTAACACACCAAAACAAGAATGCAACAATGGCAAAGGATATTCGGTACTCTGTTGATTATTTATCAACTCCTATCCATCCAAATGTGGTTCATACTCGTTTAATCAGTCAGTCAACAGTTAAGTTTCGCATTCCCTATATGATTGAAAGCATAGGCACCTAAATAGTAATGCAGAAGTCAGATGAAATGTTTCAGGGAGGGAGGAGGAAAAAGTCAGTTGATGAGGTTAACTTTCATCGACCGAAATGACTGGCTGGGACATGTGTTACGCACACCTTACTAACCGTCTGATCCGTAACACAATGTTGGCCGAAGTACGTTCAGAATAAAAAAGGTTTCAGGACGGCCAGACTAAAACGTGGCATCAGTGCACGAAGTCTTTGACTGTTCATCTGAGCCTAGTAGAGCGATATAGACTGGCCAGTTATGGTCCACAGAACAAGAGAACCTGGTCATTGGGCGCTCTATATTATTATTATTATTATTTTCCCTTGGGTTCCTAGTTTAACATAGGGCTTCAGTAGCACGCCTCCACTGCACTCTTTTGAACCTCGCTCCACAACTGCTCACAAGCTTTCATTTCTTCCTCACATGATCTCCTCCATGTCACCCTCAACTCGGACGCCCAACTCGTCGTTTCTTCTATGGGTACCACTCAATCGCACGGCACGTGGGGTCTCCAATCGGCCTTCTCAGTGTATGCCCAATCCATCTCCACTTCCTTCAAGTACATTTTTCTTGAGCGATAGGTTCTCGGCTGGTTCGTTGACAGCCAGAGTTCCTTGTTGCTTATTCTCATCATTTTGGCCATCTGATCTTCAGTATCCAGCCAGTGTAGGCAGCTGTTGATGAATGTCTGTAGTTTGTTGGGATTCCTTTACGTGACACGCCAAGTTTCTCAACCATATAGCAGCACTGACTCGACTGGTATTCGTGTTGAAAATTCGGATCTTGTTCCACGTGCTGAGTGTAGTAGATCTCCACACTGATTTCAGATTAATGAAGGCTTGTCTTGCATTTCCGATCCTGGTTTTGGTATCCTCGTCTGTGCCGCCGCCTGTAGTTGAAACGATGCTGCCTAGGTAGTTAAGTAGGTAGGTAGGTAAAAGAGACTACTTCCATTAGGCTTCTCCCCACTAGTGGTGATTGGTGTCTGTTGTTCATGCTGTTGTTGGTTGGGTATCTTCATCACCTCCGTCTTCTCTACGTTCACTTGAAGTCCTAACTTCGCTGCCTTGCTTCTTCTGTCAACTTGTTGGTTTTCGCCTGTAGGTCTTCGAGTTTGTGCAGCGTTAGACATAAATCATCATCGGTGGCGAAATGCAAATATTCTAGGGTCTTTTCATCGGTCAAACAGTGTATGCCCATCTTCTCGCTCCTCAGGGTTTCCTGCATGATCCATTCCAGTCCACCACAATCAGGAAGATGATCGGTGGTAGTAGGCAGCCTTGTCTTACTCCTTCCTGTCTTCACTTCGAAGGCGTCACTGAGCTCCCCATTGTGGACCACTTGGCATGTGGCGTCATCACATAGCTGTTGAATGAGATTGATAAAGGTTTGTGGTATTCCGTAGCGTTGAAGCAGTTACCAAATTACTTGTCGATCGACGCTGTCCAAGGCCTTCTCAAAGTCGATGAAGTTGAGGTAGACAGTTGACTAACATTCTATACTCTGTTCTATGGTGATGCGTAGTGTAGCGTTGCAATTTGATCCGCTCATGATTTGTTATTCCTGAATCCACCTAGGTAGCTCTTTCCGGTCGCAGTTTTTAACCCAGTGCACCCTATAGTCTCCCCAGGATGATGAGGCATAATATTTTGCCTGGGGTGGATAGGAGCATGATTCCTTGCCAGTTCTTGCAAAGGTTTAGGTCTCTCTTCTTCGGGAGTTTCACAAGGTAGCCCTTCCTCCAATCAATGTGCAGGTACCTTTCCTTCCTCCCTTCCAAACCTTCTGCAGTAGTGATGTGAGCATGTTCGCTGTTATTTCTTATTCGATGTCAGTGGAGCAGATGTATACACACATTATCCTCTTCCTAACCACTATACTTAAGCACATCATTTTCGCATTCCTTCCTCTTGTCTCTTGCTACTTTATACTTCTTTTCGCCGATTTTCCTTTCTTCCTTCATCTTCCATTTTATTGTCTTGGTATTTGATGTACTGACGTGAGGTGAAGTACGACAATTTGGACCTTTACGCAGTAATGCCTGGTCCTATGTTGACTTCGATGTTGATGAGTGGAGGCTGCGCATAGCATTGATAGAACTTCGACCAACACTGTTTAATACAGCTTACCAGTATAAGTTTCTGCATTTTCACGTCTCTAATTAGTAGCCGCAAAACCGATTGAACTTTTCAAGTTTAGTTTGTGCAGAAAACGTTTCTCCAATTTCTTTTCATTCTTTTACACGACCTGCGCATACAACCAAGAACGGATCACAATATCAATTTTCTTTGAGCGGTCACAAACATGATAAATTCCAGTTTTACCCTTCTTCCATACTCCCATCCAGCCAGCAGGATCAATTCACTCTCATATCCCCAACGTACCGTAGCAATTCGCACCATACCGATAACTCCTCTATGTCTGAACAATATCCAACCCATCATTTTGGTATAGTGCAACACCAAAGAAACGAGCATCCCACCAGTATAGCTTTTTAAGGTCCTTGCGATATCCAAACCCGACCACCACATCATACAACATCGGGTGAGTTATAATATTGCTAACAAAATAGTAATTATAATAATGATACATAGGACAACTCACAGAATACAAAGTGCTTAAATCCATAGGATATGCGATCATTTCCTTATAACCTTCAACAACTGTTGTGTCGACAGGTTCTCGAAAATGTTCAGCCTACTCAGTGAAAAAAAGATCATAAAATGGTCATTAATTATACTGATGATGATACAAAGTTAAACAAGTACCCAGATAATAATACCAAGTTCATAACGAATGTACCTCCAGAGTCAATTTACCATCTCCACTGCTTAATAATTTGATCTTGCAACTCATTTGGTAGACCACCGGGACAGCAACCCAGAGAACGCTGATCCGAATAACGATGCTCCCACGACCTGCTTACAACATCTACAATGTGATATTGTATGCAACTCTCAAAACCTCACAGACAAACAGACTGACAAAATAAACGTTGGACCTCGCACACACAACGGAATCCGTTCAAACTCCCACACTTCACAGCAAAATACAAAGAACAAGTCGATAGAAAAAAACTGATATCAAAAAGAAAAAGGTGTATAGGAGAATAAACAATCTGAAGATAATGGTTAGTCCAAAAGTTCAAGTATTAGAAGATATCAAGGAGTGAATACATCTGCACAATTATGACCGATTGATGTTTGGCCATCTCAGCAAACGTGCTCAACCACTGATTCCTATCACCTTGGGGACTCCAACCAGGTAGTCTACCCCCAAAGATTTTGAAACATTTTGACAAGAAATACTTACCGGGAATAGACAGTAAGAAAAATTGAGAATAATATATGCAGTCAGAGTAGGGTGTTACAGAGCTTGCTAATGTATATGATTTAGCGAATAGTGTTAAGAAAGGTCTAGAAGCGGCTGTAACAACAACCACACAGAAAGGAGGAAAAAGCACCATGGATTACGCAACTGTTTTTCTTTTTGGAAAGACAAGAAGAAACCCAACAAATTCACTCTAGTTCTACTTATCAGATAGAGACGGTCTTGACAATTCGAAGTACGCGCGAAGTCTTTTGTCTGTTGACTGATATGAAGGATTTTATTGCAACCATTTGATCTCCCGTTTCAACGATGTGACAAGTAATTGCATTCCCGAGTGATGATGAACCTCTCAAATTTACATCTCTTGGCATGCGCTCAGCAATCTAGATAGATAATCGCTTCTGTTCTTCCTGGGTACTTGATACTGCATGTACATGTGACTGATATAGTTAGAGGAGTTAACAATAATTCAAGCATTGTCTAATTTGCAATGTATAACTGCATATGTTGCTTGATACACGTCGAACAAGTCCCGCGTTCGGACAAGTCTTGCACAGTCCACTACTTGTCAAGACATCATCTCATTTGAAAGCCAAAGTAAGAAACTTTGGTTTCTTTTAAACAATACTATATTCCGCTCTGTTCCTTTTACTTTTGTAGTACTTTTGCCCTCTGTTGTAACGTCCTAATGAACATTCCGACCGAGAAACAGACTCTTCATTCATAATCTTATGATTAAAGTCTACAGGAAGTGGCCATTGTAAAGTGTTATCTAGTCGCATCAGGATAATAGGCAAACCTTTGATTACACCAATGTAAATCTTAAGACACCAAATTCTAGCTGGTGATACCTGCTCCTTGTTGTTTTCTTACATACTCTGAAATTGAAGTGAAAGACGAAAATCCTACAATACTCACTTCGCACTATCATGGACTCAAATCGCTGTGAACGGTAAAAGGTTGCAGAAAAGTGTTATATGTCTGCCTGATTGAAATTGTTTTAAGCGCGTCATTCTGCCGATTCAGCCTTGACGCTGACCTTGAACATGACTGGTCTAGAATGTAATTGAGCAGTCTCGTATGCCAAATCTACCAACACCATAACCCCACCCCTGCAACCAAGCAAAACAGAACACAAAGTTTGGCGCCTATTCTCAGTGTATTTCGGGTAACCTGGTTCATCTGCATATACAGCTAAGTTACATCACCATAACACAACATAATTTATAAAGATAAAACAACCAATTTCATGTAGACAAATTGAAATAATGCAGAATAATAGACTGACTTCACTCATCCTGCAATTATTTTCGAACTAGACAGCAATAATGTTAACAATTAAGTTATATGTAAAATAACCCGAATCATACAACCAGTGATACAAATCTAAGGAGATTAACGTTTAATACCTTTCGGTTGATATAACAAAAAGGTGACAGCGATATTATCAATAACGATAATGAATAGTGGCGAATTCAATGGTTGACAGTTTCCTATATCTATCAACTCACAATATAGCTGGACCATTATGTAATGAAATCAGGGAGTACTGGGTCTCTCATTTAATCACTCAACCACTCTTTCACACACACACACACACAAAACTTGACTAACCCAACAGGTCACACCTAAAATCAATCACCACAAACCTCCAAACTGACTTCCTATCTAATACTCATTGCTGACATGGATCACCTGAAGTTTTCACTAGAAGCCGTGACTTGTGAGGTTAAGAACACAAATATCCAACAGATGGCACTGACTGCACAATGGTAGCACTATATCGTGAATTGACAACATCATGAAAATGTAACCCGTTGGCTTCTATCTCACTGACTGAATGCTAAACTACTCGTTGTGAGACCCAACGGTTCTGGGTCCGATACCTGATGGGATATTGTGGGTGTACACTATCAACAGGCAATATACTAAGACGAAGCAGCTGCCCAGTGCCACCAGGCTTAATGGTTCTCTAAATGATATCAGTTGTTGATACATAACTTGAAAGTATCTACTATGCTTGAAAAGGTTGATCCTGCTGTTTTGTCAATGAGAATTGATTATACTGCTGATGACGGTCCACCCTATGAATGTACACATCCCAAACACCGTGTTTGAGGCTAGTCACAGCTGACTGGTTTTCTAAAGTAGAAGTTTTTAAAAATCTAAAAACCTGTATCATCACAACCCGTGATCGTGACGTAACGTAATCAGTTGGAACATGGTTAAGGTTACTTAAACATCTATTCAAATTATTCAGAACTTTATACTGTATTTAGCTTTTTTGGTTTTGCTTCAAATAACACAAACTATCCCCCCTTCAGAACATACGTCGATGTTGGTGCTGTTGTCTGAAAGATATTCAATACTGACAGTCGTTTTCGTCGCGCTTCCATATGGATAGCATAAATCAAAGGTGCACGCGACTGAACACATATACACCGATGGCAAGATTATTCAGAATGGCTCGTGTTCTGAGCCAGTTAAAACAAAATTGATAAACTCGAATGGAATCACTACAACTTATTCGATGAAGTAGTAGAATTACACAAAGAAATGCAAAAGAATGAACAGTAAAAGAAATAAAAACCTACCCAACAATTTCGGGATAACCGATCAAGCAGGAAAAACAGCATACACTTCAATTGGTCTTGAGTGATGTCACTCCATAATTTCGGTTGATGCAATGAGCATTCAGCCACGGTGACATCCTCACATTCAGGACAAAGCCAAATATCTGGAAATTGTGTCATACACAGACAGATGGGATGATACACTCTTGGACAATAACTACATATAATCATCTAGGCAGGAGGAAAAAATGGGTGAAACGAAAAATATACCTTAACTAAAATGGATGTGAGCACGAAATCAATCTAAAACCTCTCGCACATTAGTGCTACATATCACAGTGCAAGAAAAAAACAAGTGGGTGGAGAAACACCGATATCAAGGTAAATAAACGTGTATACGACGAAAAGGAACATAAAAATCAAGGTTGTGGCTAATTCTCAGCCATGCCATCAAGCATCTCTCTATTTTCAACCAATGATTCCTATCGTTTCTAGCACTCCAGCCAGACAGTCCACACTACTGAGATCGGAAGTCAAATACTTCATTGCTTGGTGATACGTCCTCGTCTGACCACAGTTAGTTGTCACCTAGTCCCATTCTACGCTGGCTACCGTTACACGTGCAGGTAGGCCGCACAGCATGTATCCGAGTCACAGTCGGTGAAGGCTCAAAGCCTCATCGACTGATTTGTCGACTTTGCCGTCAACATAACATTGATACTGTTCACATGGTAGTACCACTATGCAGCAGCAATGCTGTCGGAACACTCGTGGTCAAAAACCTGTAACCTTTTTATATCACCGTATCTTAATGGATATCTCATCTGTATGACATGACAAAGTAGGCCGTGAAGTATACTCGTCGTTTTGTGCTTTATCGGGTATCTTACCAGTCGACACCTAACAATGACGCAAGTTGAGAAATAACAACTAGCCCTTTGCATCTGAGCTCAGATTTTGTCAGCTATTTGTTTAAAGCTAAGAAACATGTATTATATGGTGGAAATATTTTATACTTCATGACTGCACAAAAAATCGTATGTGGACAACAATTTGGACCTGTGATATACTGGTGAGAAGACGACGCTTCAGTTACAAACAGCCATGGAATAGTTGATTAGATTATGCTTAGATTACTCCAATGACCAATTTAGTTATAGAAATGGGAGTTGACGCAGAATGAGAAGTTTGCTGATGCACCACCTAACAATGGGTAATGGAATGGTTCAACGCATCGGCCACTCCACTTACTTAGGAAGTCGGACTAATCCTGGTGTCAACGACCGACAAAATCACTTCACGCACAGAAAAGGATAGTATGGCTGTTCATCATTTCGTTTATCACACAATGTTGGCTGAAACAATTTTAGATTGCAAAACAGTAAGAGTAAGTAAGACTAAAACATGGTATCAGTTCACAGTCTCTGACTGTTGATCTCACCCACCAATGAATATGTAGACACCTAGACTGGGACCCAGTTGACAACCGGAATCAAAGGTTGACGACCGTGGACAATGACTCAGAATCCGTTTCAGAGACGCAGATTACTTGACATTATGTCACTATTCTCGACGACATACATTCGATTTTATTCGTTCCATGTATAATTTAAATGTTTTAGATACAAAAATCGACAAGGGAATTGTGTATCCAGAAGCAACTTTATCATTCGCTCCTCTTTCATTATTTCCTCTCAAATTCTTAAACTTTCGAATTCTGAAACTTGACTAAACCCTTTTCATTTTCATCTGGTTAACACCTGACAACTCTCCGCTTACTCACTTTATCGCAAATTCTTTATTTCTTCAGTTCAACTCACCTTATCAAATATATTGTCCTATTTGTCATATAGTTTCCATTCCTATATGATTATTCCGGTCACAAACTACTAATAGGTAATTGTTGATAAGTGAGTTGTAATGACTTTTTGTGTTTATCAATGAATATTTGCACTAACTGACTATATTAATGTGAGTGTGGATTGGAGAGGGGATGGCATTGCCGGAAACAAATGTTATATGTTGATGATACATTCGTTGTTGAATAACCTGAAACATGTCTCATACTTGCTGAGTCTGCTCAAAGAAGCACACCAAAACGTAGAATTTACAATAAAATAAAAACAGGATGATAAATCTCACTTCCTTCACCTCGGAATTCAACGAAATATAGATGGTAACATACTTAGATATATCCATCGTAAAGATTCTTGGAGTGGAATGTATCTTGACTTCAACAGCTTTTGCCCCATAAGTCATAAGAAAGAGCTGGTGAGAACACTCTTAAACCGCGTAAGATGTCTTTGTTCAGAAGGGACAATGGAGGAGGAAATAAGTATTGTAAGAAATTGCCACTGTAACGACGGAAATTCACAGAAATTCACCAATTAGCCCAAGAATACTCCGAATAAGACCATAGGGTGTGATAAAGTCGGGGAGAAGCTTGTTTTTTAAATCTTGGTTTCAAATGTGACGATGTTTCCGGCAGAATTAATTACAGAGTAAATGCCACCTTAAAAAGGACTTATCCAGCCGCTAGACTAATTGCACACTACCGTGCGAATTGCTTTTTGAGACAATCAAAGGTTGGCAACTCCCCTCTTCATGTTGCCTTCAAATGCATCTACCAATTCACATATACGTACCAAAACACATACACATTGGACGAATAGAAAGAAGAATCTGTGGCCGCATATCTGAGAATATTCTAAGGAATTTGCGACTGAGAGGTGGAAAAGTCTCCAACAGCGCTAATGTTTGTCACCTTATTGCTACCGAAAATGAAGTCGATATTGAGAAATCGTTCAAAATAATAATTAGCAAACAGATGAATTCGAATTTGCTGCGTTTCGCTGAAGCGCTAGCCACTAAACGATTAAGATCAGGCTTATGTGTTCAGAAAGAAACAGGTTGTCAGTCTGTGCGTACCATGGTAAAGACTTTTGTTTTATTGACAACCATAGTGCTTTTTACACATCATTGTCGATTCATACAAGTTAGTTTTTCGTTTTGCTTTTTGGTATTTTATATTTCACGCCTTTGACCTAATTATTTGAACCCTACTTACGTTATCTCTTAGTTAACACAAATCTTATGATCTTTCACACATTTTGTGTAAGCTTTCTTATGCGTTGAATACACTTGTCTTCCCTCCCCCACTCCACTCTTATCCAACTTCCGCTTTGGAATACTCGTCTAATCCCTCTATATATTTATCAACTGCATATTTATTCACTCAGTTTGTGTTTTCAATCACTTCATATCGATGCTATCTTGAGTTCATGCGGACAAGCTCCTATAAAACTGGTTCGAGTATGCAAACATTTTGTATAAATTGATGTTAAGATTGTTTTAGGTTGTAAGCAGCTGATGAAGAAACCACGAAATAAAATGGATCCATGCTATTCTGCTAGAGCTGTTGTTCTTGCAATATTTGAATTTATGAAGAGAAAAAATTGTGTAAAGTTAGCCACACCGTTTACCATCCAGCAAACTGTTTATGCTTTAAACTTGTGAAAAAAATACATGAATGGGAATTTAAATACAGAGGGAAACAGGGAAGAAAAAGAAGAGACTTACTCACCTCACCAGGCTTATGACATATCCAACAGTAATCATCTGAATCTCTAGGTTCATCGTCATTATTATCATCATTGTCTCCAGTGTTTTGTGTTTTCATCATCCGTTTGTCTACTTTTTTCTTGACAGCAGTACCAGCATTCAACTGACTGGATATCGTCGATTGTGCAGATTTATGGTTATGGTCACTTGAATCAGTAGGAGCTATAAATTGTACACATTTACGCATAAATTCATCTAAGCAGCTAAATAGATAACACTGATGAATTGTCCACCATGAATTACATTTTACATTGCAGTGGGGATTTTGATTCAGAACTAGTCTTCATAAATCTAGACAACACAATAACCATAATGTCTACCGATGGATGATAAGAAGAAACCACTAAAACTTTGGGTTGGTTTCGGTCAACTTGACATTCATCATCAAGGCATGTACACGATCTTCTACAGATGTAGAGACTGATTTTCCGGTCAATACAGATTACTGCAACAAATTTCATGTTATCTAATTCCATTTTAGAAAACAATATGATCGAAAAAATATTTCCCTTTAATTACTTTTTCAACCATGACTCCACACTAATATGTAGAATTTTCAAAATATAAAATGATGGCATGCTAGTCAACGCAGTGATAATTGTTTCCCCACAGGTTATTGATCAATCGCAAGGCATTAAGCTAGTCATAACTAATCAAGGTAATTGAAACGATAGCTAAAGTCTAGACTAATTACATAGTAAAATCTGTGAAATTTTCAACAGGCTGTTGGATAACTGAAAGTTTGTATAACAGCACTAACTAAGAATAAAGGAGAAGCAAAATGAATCACTATGTCGTCGTCAACACTGATTAGAGACAACAGAGGGAAGAACGAGATGGTCACAACTTTAATAACAATAATAATTGCAAACGTTTGTGGGATGAACGAATGGAAGGCTGATGTTTTCTTACAAATAAGTTGTACAGTTAGCCAAAGCAAAGAAATGGGCTGGGCAGCTTTCTTCTGAACACACAGACTCGGCTTATTCAGGTGGATTTCAGTGGTTTCTGCTGTATACACGAGACAAAATTGTAGAGTATGGGTGAGATTAGAAGAAATATAATAAATAACTGGAGAGGCGTTAATATTAACTTGGTGACCAGTGTCAACCAGATAGGAGAGTATTGGTCTTCGTATCAATTTTCTTCTCCCTTTAATGAGCCATGGCAGTTGATGTTCGACAACTCGACTTGCCTAACTGCACCCCCATCAAATGTAACTAGCCCCTCAAGAGCAGTTCAACTAGTAAATGTATATAGAAGAGGCGAAGTCAGGTAGTCTGTCTTCGATTCGCGAAGTCATCATCGCCCGACAGTAGAGTACACATTATAACTCCGCTGTACTAAGTGATCTTCCTATGACATTGCTCAGGTGCTATCCTAATTTCCCTGATGATTTTACCCCCAAAACTGTAGTCTTGGGAACAATGGTGTCTTCAAAGCTATAAGTACTCTGGTTTTTATATTAGATATGGTCATGTTTTTAACTAGAGACTCTTCTGGATATTCAATGTTCCGATGTACCTTTTTGCCAGATTCTAAGCTTATTTTGTCCGTTTGCCAATCTGCTGTTTTTGAAGTAAACTGACGGACAAGTTCTCAGCTGTACAAGCAGAGATGTAATGCAGCATCATAGTGAAGCTTTCTAAACATAACAAACCAATTTCACTTCGCACCAAAAGATATGCAATAACCTGTTGTAATACTCAGATGTTTTTTAAATTAGCCAAAACCTTTGACACTACAAATATTCAATGTTGATATTACATACATGCTTCAAAAGCTATTCAGCCCTATAGATCACATACAAGACATACACGAATTTTAGTCATCTAGTCAAAGATGACGAATCCCAGCCAGATCGGATGAAATATGCTTACTGAATTGCACTCCCAGTCACCATCAAGCAACTAAGAATCAGACAGAATAACTTTTGTTTTAGATTTTTCATCTTTTTTTACACATTTTGAACACTGCGTCACACACTCCCCCAAAATCAATAACCTAGGGTTTGGCGAGATTTAACGTCCATGCTGACCTTAATAATTTAACTGGACTCGCTAGGCTGAAGGCACCCGGTCAAGCATCCTTGCCATTTGGTACGCTGTCATGTTACGTTGCACTGCTCGCAATCGACTGTCTAGCCAGTCAGTTGGAAGGCACTGGTATCTTGGCACAACCACCCAAATATACTATTCCATCCGACTACGCTATCGTGTTCTTCCTTGGTCTCGTATTTGTGGGTATATAACAAGTTAGAATAATTAGTGATTGGCCTCTGTGTGTCAAGTTCGCATCAGGACAACACCTAAAACTGTATCACACTTTTGGTTATAGAAAAGTTGGAGACGTAGAACCAGATACGTCACAACTACTAAAAAAGGCGTTTTGTCAACTGACCTGATTGTTCAATTCGCATACATAGGCTAACATCCATGTTTGAAGGTTGATTAGACAATACAACACTGTCAACTTCTTCCTCCAGCTGTAAAAACAGATTATCACATAGAAAGAATAGCAGACAATAAGTGTATTTAATAATGGAATCAGCACATTTTTTAAACTAATAGACATATGAAGAGGACAGATAATACACTGCATACTGTTGTGAAACATGAAATGAACTGGTGTGCTTCTGTACCACATTACTAATATTACATACCATGCCTAATAACTGAATGCGCCCTGGTGGGTTAGTGACCGACGAAATCTCTGCATTTATGACACCGCTACGATATCTAACTGCCTACCAAAGGTCGAGTGGGCTGTGCTGCAGTTCTCTCTCATCTACTGTGCCGTTTTCAAACATGGCTATTAAAGATGGAGGACAGGAGGCTTCTGGTGTTTGACCACGGTTGTTTTCGTAGCATAGACCTTGTGTCGTGGTATCACCACGCCATTAGTGTGGAAGTCAGGTGCAGAGTCTTCGGAAGGAGAAGAAAGTCAGTTGATGCGGTTTTGAACCTTCATTGATTGAAGTGACTGGAACATGTGTTGTTACGCATGCGTAGTCCACCATCTGCTTCGTTGTGTAGTGTTAGCCAGACTGGGGGGGGGGGGAGGAGACGTCAGACTAAAGCATGGCATCATTGAGCCCTAGAGGGAAATGAAGATTAACCGGTTTGGATCGACGTGACAACATGAACCAGTCGTTGGACACTCTACGTAACATGGCTCAGAATCCATGAATCTTGATGGCATAGATGTACTTACACATTATCTTCATCTTAATCGTCAAACTAGATTTCTTATTCCTCTTCCCTCTCTTTTACCGCTTTCTATTGCTGTTGACCGATTATTCTCCATTGCTTTATCTTTCATCCTATTCCTTTGTTACTTGATGTGCTGATAATAAGATATGACAGCTTGGATATGTACGCAACAACGTCTGATTCTATGTTGATATTGCGGTTGATGAATGGTTGGATGCCAAGATTTTCTAAAAATCCTCTAAAATCATTAATACTCTATGGTGGTATTCAATACGGGTTGATATGAGCTGGAGAACAACTGAAAAAGCTGGTAGCACTGGTCAATTATCTCAGCCTAGCGTTAGACTCATCAGTAGCGTACACCCGCCATCCAGTCGAAAGTCCCGTTCTCGTGCGAAACGTGTCCACTCCTCCTAAGTTTTCAACGGTTCTCCATCTAATCTAGTCAGTAATGAATACTGACTTGAAATCTATTCTTTCGTACAAACTTCCAAATAGAACTACTCTAACAACCTATCTGCATTAAGTTTTTTATCTTCAACAAGGTTGAACTTTGGTCTCTAGTCACCCCTTACTTGGCCCCGAGCCATCTCTATTTACGCACACATCGGTCCACATACTCCTATGAAGTTGAGTATATCGGATTTTCAACGCGGATCCCCTGCATAAGGGTTCAACAACACTATCCTGTGCGGATCCAAAGAGGTAACAGTGGATCTATAAGTGTGATAATGAAACACCTTGTCGGTATTGGTCATTCAATCTCAACAACTATCTACTAAAGTGCACGTCTTCCTTTTGTATTGCTGAAGCTTAAGAAATCCAATAGGAAAGCCGGAGCTTTGCATACAAAAGAGACTTTTTCAAACTTTATCCCCTTCTCCCGTTTTGATTTTTTTAATTCTATTCATTTGTTACATATCATCAAGTATTCATTGTATCTATACTCACCTTGATAACAAATGACTCACTAAACACTTTATCATCTTACTCAACCCATCATTCACTCTTAATTTATGTGATATATTGAGCAATACTCACTAATCTAAACAACCCTGTACTACTAGACCATGACAAGTTAACTCCATCGTTTTAACTCTGCTTTTTGATTACTTTATCCCATTCATAAAAATTCTAATTATTTCAGGATAAAATATCTCCACTTTTCTAACGATGTATCATCATTTCGCTTGTTGGCATGCCTAACTGACTGCTTCCACGCATGAAGAAAATTGTACATTCTCACCGGAAAACAAATGCTATACATGAGATTGTACACCTCAGTGAATGAAACCGCCGGAAACAATATATTCACTGAACCACTTGTTTTCATTTTCTTACATCGATTACTCACCAACCAGCAACCATTTCATGTGAATAAGTGAGCAATACGTTTCGCCCCATCTGGGACTCGTCAGCTAGGTGTGCCTGCCACTGAATGACTGATGTTACCCAGTACACCGCTTCAAACAGTTGAGCGTTATTGACCAGTATACTAAGCAATAAGGGCTAGACAGCTACATAGGTTCCAGTCATACAAGGGATAAGTCAAGGCCTGATCAGTTTAACAGCTCAGTGTCTGACATCAGTTCAGAGTGATGAAGGCTTGAATCACCGACAGAACACCAGTTCCCTCATGGTTGCGCGCATACGCCTTTCTGGCGAGTGTCAACATAGACAAAACTCAGTTCCAGCAGCTTCTTTTCGATCACTTCCAAGCATCCAGCAAATCAACTTGTCACAAGCTGCCTTAGAGAACATTGATATATGTCAAAACTTTTATTGTATGCATCTTGTTTTTTTGACTGACCCTATCGATCACTGTAGGTTTATTAGGATGCCGTAATTAAAATCTTGGCCACAGCAGGATTCGAACCAGCGGCATCTGGATAACCCGATCTGATGTTGGAAACAAGTTGCAAGTTAAGAGCAAATAGAAAATACAACACGGATCAATAAGTGACACCTTGTCGCTTAACATTTTTAAACGCTTCAACCGGCCAACAGCAGATGACAGAGAACGACGTTGCCTTGACAACGATGATACTTTACCAGGTTCATTTGTCATAAGATCATAGTAAAAATAGAAAACAAAGGCAGGCTAGTTTAAACGCAGATTAGCAAAGTGACTAGAGAGACTATGCGATTCACTTTAAAATCTACACAATTCTCTTCTAAAAATAAGAGTATGTTGACATTGATATTGGAGTAAGGCTTTCCTGAGAATAAACAGAACTGGGTCGTCACACTCGTATGTGACTCCAACCGAAGAAGAGCTTTGTTCACTGAGATGAGAAACATAGTCAATATTTTGAGAATCTAGAATACTTCATCCACAAAAAATAGGAAGATTGGTTTTAAACGGTTGACTAGAGAGGTGCTTAATTGAGAAATATTTTAACCCAGTAACCACTCGCATAGTTAAGCACTCCTTGTTTTACCGCATGGCTGTGAAACGTAGCCATTAAAAGTTGGGGATATGAGCAGGCTTCAGGTGTATAACCAACCTTGCTTTCGTAGCAGAGACCATGAGTATTGGTGTTACCACGTAACGCAGAAACCGTGTGTTGAGTTTCAGGGAGGAGGGGTAAGTCAGATGATGCGGTTGTGATGGTTGGCTGGGACATGTTACCTTTGCCTAGCCACCATCTGCCTCATCGCCCAATTTTAACTGTAGTTTCAAACTTGAGAAAGGTTCGCAGCAACTAGACTGAAATATAGCATCATTTGATGAAGTCTCTGATTGCTGGTCCGAGGCATGTAGTCTTTGCGGCCGGGATCCGTTTGACAATAAAAGTGGTGGCAAAAGGTTTCAGTCGACAAAGCTCAGCACCCATCTAGCTGATCCAGATGCATCGCCAAACTAACCTTATCTTAAACGCCGCAAGTTTCATTATCATGCTCTCTATTAACGACTGGATACCGCTTTCGACTGCCTTAAATAAATTACATATTTTTCATCTTGGTGCATTCTCGTTGGATGCTGACACAAGGTGTGGCACGCTGGACTGTTACGCAGCAATGCTAGGTCAGATGACAATATTATCTACCATCTACCTACCCACCAGCCTTACGAAGTTAGAGACAAACAATTCGGAGTGAACAACCTCTAGAATTAGATAAAGATATTTGTACAGATGAGACACTCGCAGATCGATACAAGGATTCGGGTAGTCACCAACGATGGTGATCATCAGTGCAGGTAGTGGCAGAAATACACATCGGTTGTTTGCCTTTTTTAGTAGTGAATACCTGTTTCCTGACACAGTAGATGGGTTCGTAGTCCCGATCAAGACGGTAGAGAAACAAACTGGTGGTCAATCACTCAGGGAATATCGAGGTATCCGCATAAGAGCCCATATGCCAATAGAGCTCGAACTATTCGACCCAATAAAACAACGGAGAATTGCAAGTTCATCAACAAATGGTAATAGTCATTTTGTCTAGAATATAAACCATTGTAGTAGAGTAAAAGTGCTCCACTAGAGAACAATACATGGCCTTCTTAACTCAACCAGCCTCTGCAAAGCAACTTCAGCACATAATATAAGACAAGGAATGCAGTAATTCACTAAACAAAGGTAAACTACACATTTCTGAAAGCACAAGGTACTGAAACGCATCGATCATCGTAAACAAAACGTCAACTCACCATCACGGTTCACATTTATTGTCAAGACTAGCTATTGATAGGTACTCGTCAAGCCTGTGAGTAGGTTCGTTGCTGCGGGGAGGCGCGTTAAGTGGTGACTTTAATGATCATGAGAAACTGGAACGGAAAGATGGAGAGAAAAAAGTTAGTCAATGATTCATCAAACACACAGGAAATACTCACATTTAATAGTGAAAAATAACTGACAAGCAACAGAACTTGACAACGAAGAGGTGAGATAAACCATAAACCTAAACCAGGAAGTGGATGGATAAGATTTTAAACACCTTACAAAGCATGAAATATGGCTGACTACATAGTGTTTTCGGTGTATTAAAAGAAGGTGCACCGCTCTCAGTCATCGCATGAAATATTCTTGGAATATATACTTCTAATTTCCGTATATAAACGTCTGGAAGAGAAATTTGGGTTAATTCCAAAGATGATGGGTTACCTGTAGATGTCATTTTCATAGACTTTAGTAAGGCGTTCGACGAGGCACATCATTCTAAGTTACTTGGGAAACTGGAAAGTTTTGCAATCACTGGCAGTCTACTTGCATGGATAAGAGACTTTCTTGTTGGTAGGAGGCAAAGAGTAAAGATCAATTCTCAACTCTCTACTTGGAAGTCGGTAGAGAATGCATTGCCGCAAAGCACAGTCCTGGGCCCCTGCTGTTTCTCCTAAACATAAATGAGCTGCCTAATATAGCGAAATCTCCTATAGCTCTCTACGCTGTTGATGTAAAAATCTGGCAGGAAATTAGGAGCGATGAGGATATACTTGTGCTTCAGGCAGACCTGAACAACCTGTTTACCTGGTCAGAGAAGTGGTTGATGTCTATCGGTGCAGGTAAATGTGTGAGTATGCACTTGAGGCACACACACAGCAATATCTACGATACTGGTGGGACTTCCCTACTATCGGTACTGACCCACAATGACCTAGGAGTCACAGTGAGTTATGACTTGAAAACCACGGCTCACTGTCTATTGGTAGCAGCTCGGAGTTTTAGGACTCTCTGGGCATTTTGTGGAACCTTTATGAAAATAAGTGGTAGCATGTTCACCATTTTATACGCATCGTTAGCGAGGTCTAAATTAGAAAACTGTAGACAGGCGGAAAAAACTAGTCTGAAAGGTGACCCAGACCTTCTAGAATGAGTTCATGGAGCAGCCACTCGTATGATTCCTGCGATGGCTGGCCCCATCTATCAAGATCGACTTAGGGAGCTGGACCTCTTCACTTTATCCTATCGCAGACATAGCGGAGACATAATCATGCTATTCTGGATTCTAAGAAATGACTTTGGACCTGATCTATCCTCTCTTTTCCTTCCCAGTATGTCGGAACACATCAAAGGACATAGTACAGCAGACTACAAAGCAAAGGACGAACATGGTCTTCGCAGAGTAATGGTTCTCGCATCGAGTAATCAACGCCTGGAACAGACTCCTAGAAGAACTGGTAACCGCATTATTAAAAGGTTCACCCAAAAGTGTGCCTGGACAAGCACAGAAATCTGCCAAGAAACAGGTTGATGTGGGTTCCCAGCCTGCAATCCCTAAGCAACAAGTCTGAAATCTGAATAAATGTGGATGAGAATGGATACTAACCAGTATCCAATATTGCTAGTGCGAGTGTAGAATGTTGAGAGATTCTTACCTCTAACGTCTAATTCTCAGAGCTTGGTTCGAGTTGTTCAGCTCACACCTGATGGGTGGTCCTGTAGGCCATAATAAGGTCACCCCGCTTCCTAGGATAACCCGATGGAAATAGGTTTAGGTATTCAAGTCTTTCAGGATATGCCTTCCCCCTTAGCCTCACAACTGATTTTGTTGCAGTTTGTCTTTTTTCAGGGAGATTACAGTCTCTCTTGAGTGTTAGGGGGCCACCGTGTTGAAGGCCGCTAGATGCCGCCGCACGTAGGATTTGAACACAGCAGGGAAGATTTCGGGAGTGAGGGCGCCAAGCTGTCTTCGCAGAAAGCGCAGAATGGCGTTCGCTCTGGTTGTCATGCCTTTATAGTTGGAGCTGGTGTTCAAGGTGCTGGAGAAGTCGGGCCCCAAATCCTTCTCCGTGGACACTGGCGATGGCACCGCTGCTCAACATGTACTGGAAATCGGCCGTACCTGCTTCATATTTACTGATGTGCATTGCTTTGCGTTTTTCCAGGTTGAAGCCCAAGCCATTTTCCGACGACCAGAGTTTGAGTTGCTGCAAGTCACTTTGTAGCGCTTTGCACTCGGCTTCTTTGTTTACCAAATTTTAATGTTGTCAGTGAGGGAGAGGATGGATGGGGATATTCCGTGTAGCAGATCACTGACAAACAGGAGGAGTAGAAGTGGTCCTAGGATTGCTCCTTGGGATACTCCTGATGTCGGTGGTCTCCACTCCGACTGTACTCGGTCAACCAAGGTGTAGAACTGCCTCTCTTCCAGGTACTCCTTGAACCAAGAGAGTATGGGTTCGCCTTTGCCAGATGATATGATCCGTTCCCCACTCATTAATATTTCATCACCAATAGCCTTCTCAGTCGGATATTTCCGCTGCGAAAGTATCAGTGTTACTGGAAGAAACACTTTGCATAGAGAAATCACTAGGACGCGTGGAAATTTAGCTGGCTGCACTGAAACTTTGTGCAGGTGCCTTATGCAGTCCGCTGCGTAATCTGTTTCAACATTCCTTGGACAATCACATGCTTCCACAAGAGTGCGAACGTGCTTTCTATCCCCCATCTTTAAAGGAAGAGACCGGCAGAACGCGAAATGCCACCAACCCATAGCACTTTCACCGTGTATGTCAAAAGTAATGGAGGACCTAGTGGACAACCATGTCAGGGGGTGCTTGGAGAAGAGGGGAGCACTAATTGACGCTCAACAAGGCTTGAGAAAGTGCAGGTCCTGCACCTCAAACCTTCTTGCGGCCGGCGATGAGTGGACGGTATGTTGGGACCTCCAACTTCCTGTTCATGTTATTTTCCTGGAATCTGCTTGGGCCACTGACACAGTCCTGCACACCATTCTCATTCGAGAAATATCTCAAAAGGTACCCTATTCTCTCTGTGGGACACACACAACCATGGAGAAAGGCCTAGGACCAATGCGCACTGACAAGCCAGATGCTAGCTCCGATTATCCAGGCGATGCCTACAGAGTCTAAACAGTACTGCACTTCACGTGCAGACAACTAAGAACCCCTGTTCCAGAAAGAGAAAGTCCAGGGGCAAGCAACAAAGGGTGTTGTCGAAATGAGGCGAAAATCCTATGAGGACAAGCTGAAAGACCTAAGGATCTACCTTCTTAGCTACCGTAGATCACGTGATGACTTGATAACGGCATACAAAATACTAAGTAATCCAAGTCGTCCGAACAGTGGAATCCTACCAAACGTCCACTGTTGCGATCCTCGCTGTAAACCAAGGAGAATCGCCTACCAAAGGGCAAAGACCTATATGCATTCACACTTATTCTCTGTGCTGGTTTGCGGTCACTGGAATCCATTGCCTGCCGAGATTGCTACTGGCCCATCTGTTCACAGCTTCAAGAAGAGCTATGACAGTCGAGCGGGTAGACCTGCTGCATTGGGACCCACCAAAGACCTGGAATCTTTCCACAAGACCTAGAAGTGTGCACGAAGAAATCAGTTGGTTTTCAGTGGCTCGTAAAAGGATACCGAAACTGGAGCGCTCTTCCTGCAGATATCCAGGCTACTTCGCCTGAATCCTTTAAACGCTGACTGGATACTTACTTCAAATGCAGCGTGAATCTGCGCGGAAATAATTGAACTTTCGCATTTTAAACTCCACTTTTTCCTCTTTCTTTGCTTGTACACAGGTTACCAACCACAAGAACCAGTGATCCACGGATTTTAGACGCAGAGGTCAGTTAAGCGAAGGCTTCTATTCCGTCAACAACCACTTGAAGCATTTGGATGCTCGATTTACCGCAAAGACCAATTAGTGACAGGTTTCATAAGCTCAACATGGATTTTAGAGTCGTCGCTGATGTGCCATCAACTTGCTAACCGCCTGGGACGACTGGACACTCAGCTGGAACAAACAAAAACCGGTATATGTTGTTTTTCTCGACCTAGCCAAAGCATTTGAGACTGTGTCACTGGCAGTCCTGCTTCAAAAGATCATGTCAGTCAGTATAAGTGAATCCCTGCTCTCCTGGATCAAGAAGTACCTGGAAGAGAGGCAGTTCTACACCTTGGTTGACCGAGTACAGTCGGAGTGGAGACCACCGACATCAGGAGTATCCCAAGGAGCAATCCTAGGACCACTTCTACTCCTCCTGTTTGTCAGTGATCTGCTACACGGAATATCCCCATCCATCCTCTCCCTCACTGACAACATTAAAATTTGGTAAACAAAGAAGCCGAGTGCAAAGCGCTACAAAGTGACTTGCAGCAACTCAAACTCTGGTCGTCGGAAAATGGCTTGGGCTTCAACCTGGAAAAACGCAAAGCAATGCACATCAGTAAATATGAAGCAGGTACGGCCGATTTCCAGTACATGTTGAGCAGCGGTGCCATCGCCAGTGTCCACGGAGAAGGATTTGGGGCCCGACTTCTCCAGCACCTTGAACACCAGCTCCAACTATAAAGGCATGACAACCAGAGCGAACGCCATTCTGCGCTTTCTGCGAAGACAGCTTGGCGCCCTCACTCCCGAAATCTTCCCTGCTGTGTTCAAATCCTACGTGCGGCGGCATCTAGCGGCCTTCAACACGGTGGCCCCCTAACACTCAAGAGAGACTGTAATCTCCCTGAAAAAAGACAAACTGCAACAAAATCAGTTGTGAGGCTAAGGGGGAAGGCATATCCTGAAAGACTTGAATACCTAAACCTATTTCCATCGGGTTATCCTAGGAAGCGGGGTGACCTTATTATGGCCTACAGGACCACCCATCAGGCGAACGACTCAAATAGATCTATTTTGACTGCAGCACAGTTGTCTACACGGGATACTCCATTAGGATAGCACATCGGATGTCCAA